TAAATTTGCCGCGGCCAACCTCGCGAGTCAATATATTTATGAATGCTGCCACTTGGGACGCTTGTACGCCGCGGCTGCGGCCTGCGCGATTACAACTTCATTTTCAAGACCTCAAAACGACCGAGGCCGTTGTTTTCCATGCTTGGAATGCATTCAGTGAAGATATGCATTTATTTTCGTCACCTCCGCGTAAATTATTACGAAATACATTGAAAGATACTTCAGGAATCCGTTACGAAGAATTTCGATCATCAGGTGCATAATAAACCAACGCGCTATTCAGATTTCCGATCTTTTTGGAGCAGTCGGCATAAATTATCATGTTCCCTGTATAGCCATAATATGCAAAATGTTCATAGAACCGAAATGACTGTTAAAAGACCTTCGCATGCATGATTTGCAACCGCAAAGCACGCTCCGCAATTAAAGATAAAGCCGTGCTTGCAGAAAATATCCACGACGAATCATCTCTCTCTCATCTCTATGGCCGATGGATGAATAAATGCCGATGAAGGTCGGTCGAGTGCCGCGCGTCTTCCTTTCGCTTGAAAGGTGGATTGTGCGCACACCTTGATAGAGAACACCTCAGGTAGAAAACCGAAACCCCAATGAACAATATTCTCTCCGTTTTCTCGCCGGGCGCACCGGGCTGAGGCAAAAATAAAACTCAACTAGGTAGGACTAGGGCAACACTTTTGTCCGCATTGTCGTAGTGTGCGGGGGGCGCAACAACTTCAACGTGGTACGCGCGCGGCTTTATGGATTTAGGATTTTTATTGCCTGCACAAAGGGCGAGATTTTCAAGTCGTGCGGTCAAGGTAATATATGTGCCTCCGATGCGACACGCACGCTATGAAAGAATGAAAGATGCGCTCGGTCGCACGAGGGAGTATTCTCAGAAAAGAGGTGATTGCAGGTGATGTTGTTTAGTTTGACCAACGAGTACTACCCGAACAAATGCATCGAAAAACTCCTCGAAACCAATAGGAACGAAAAGCTCGAATTAGTCGTGGTATTCTTAGTGAGAGGCACAAGCAACGCGAGAGAATAGAGAATTTTATAAATTAGGAACCTATTATGCCGCTTGTTATTGCCCAAATCCGATAAAAGCCATTTATGGTCGCGTTGGAATGTGTGGAGCTCCCAAACGAGACAGGTGAATGAGAAATTGTAAAAATAAACAAGGATCCAACAAATTTCCTCCGTTTATTATTTTGGCGGCTTCCGATTGGCCGTGCACTACTTTTCTCGTATGATTATTTCGTTCGGTTGAAAGCCGTTGAAGGTCCATGGGCATCAACATCCCAGTTAACTTCTTGCTGCAATGCATGCATTGGATCGGAATGTCGTGGGTAGAATCAGAACCGTTCCAGCTAACAAATAAAGAACTAAATATTCCTAACGCATATATAAACAGATGCATGCGTTCGCCGGGGCAGCGCGCGCGTTTCATTTTCTGTGGCGACGTGAAAACAACCAGAAGAACAAGAAACGACGAACTGTAAATTCAACAATACCTCCAACTATCGCCTGCAATCCGGCGAGGAGTGTTCGCAGGTTGCCGGGGCCGGTGTTAAGTTCATGTGTGCAGTTGTTAAAGTTACCATTCGTCTCCAAAGCCGTGCAGAGCACTAATGGCGACGCCAATGGCAGGAAAAGCTATAACGCGATAACTTATTGCAGCGAGCAGCGCGCGCATTTTCTTTTTAATCGGCATCTGGAAGGCGGCGTTTTGTAGCCAAACATTTGCTATTTAAGAAGACATGTGATGCATATGCGAATGTTTACCAAACTCAGATACCATGTTTACACAATATCTGGTCCTGGAGGTCCAGAATAAGACACCAATTATGCAGATGGATGATGAAGGAATCTGCATGCCTGCGCTTTTAATTTGTTAGTTTTGTTTGGCTGCGATTTAATGTGCATTTGCTTAATTAAACCACGGCGAGACGAGGCGCGCTTTTTATTGGTGCACCGTGGCTCGATAAAACCTAGCAACGAGTGGTATGAGTGATACCTATACGCATAAAATGTTATTGCCGTACATAATACAGTGAAACAAGAACAGGAGCTGCAACTGCACCCTGCCCGAGCAGGTTTTGAATCAAACGATTATCGACTCTTTATTACCGACTTTCATATAATATAGTTTTCATCAATATGCATATGGGCGCTCGTTTCGGACGGCGTAGACCAGACTAAGCACAAGCACCGTTCGGACGCTAAGTAGTACATGCACCTTTTGGATGTTGATGTTGATTAATGCATTCGCGTAGGTGTCCACAAGAAAGCCAACATGTGAATGTAAATCCACGGGAAAAGAATTCCAGATAGAAGTATCGCCAGTTTTCGAATCGAATGACCAGTACAAGAAATATAAACAAATTTCTATAACAAGAAATTCCTGCGTTTATTTTTCTTGATTTGGAATATTTAATTCGCATTACAGAGTGATGTTGCTTGTTCATAGTTCATAATTATTACAACGAAGAAGAATTACGCCCGGAGGAGCGTAAAATATTTGGAAATCATGAAAGAATTTGGTTAACGGTGCACGCTGCACGCGAACAAGACAAGACCAAAGACGACATGTGTGTTTAGACTATTTTTAGTCAAAGAAGAATGTCGAATAATCTTAATATAACTAATAAACTACATCCATAGGAATAAAAGATCTAAATTTATAGAATTCGCGAGTATTCGATTTTATTTATAGCGCGTACGTGACTCATTTTCGCGTTTCAAAATTGGCCAACCGATGACCCATAATATCTTCTGAGATGTAGGAATATTCATAATAGATTAAGTGTTTTACGAATGTTACTTTTAACTCGGCGAGTTAAAATTAACTATGAACGAGTACTCGCTGGTGTAAAATAGTTTTAGGCGCCAAAAAATGTAACTATCTCGAATTGCCCAACGTGATAAGTATTTCACTGCAAATTTCCAACAAGTTAGCAAATAATTACTTTCGTGCAATGAATAGTTCGATAGTGGCATGCATGAGTATTTTGACAAACAGTGTTTGATAACAATTTAAAAAGTTATTAGTATTAACGTCTGATTGAGAACCCGTAGCAACCTGTATATTGCCACGACGAAAAAGCATTAAATAAATAAAACATGCTAAAATTTGCATAAAAACACAACCTTGAAACTTAATAGACTCTTCATAACTTTACGAAGCGTCCGTTCCCACCAACACGACGCCGGGCTGCGACCATGCTCTGTCGTTCAAATAAAAAGTGTTTAATGGAAACGATTTTACGATTTCAGACTTTGACTTAATTTATAATTATTTATTCATGTGTTAATTATCTACCTATATCAAACTTATCATCTTACCATGGTTTTATTGTTATCAATGTGTTGTGCGACGCTGTACCCAAAGTACGAGCCTTTTTCTTCCTTTTGACGATCGGCTGCCGAAATTCCAAATTAAACGCTCCGACACTCGCAAATATCGTAAAACTAGAAAATATTAAGCACTTGTACCACCAGGCAGCAGCGTCACGAAATTGTTTATGCTTTCTCGACATTATGAATGAACTATTGTTTTTTTCCACTGTTATCACGCGATTAAGTTATAAATATATTTAAAATAACAATACTTTTAAAATACAATCATTTAACATCAGAAAACTATTTACTATTTAAATCGTTGGAATCGAGTCGCAGAATCATTATATGTTGCGAGGTCACTGATAGTTCGTGATAGTTATCGAAAAATCATTGAATATGATTTAAATGATTTGAATCGGCGTTTTTGCCGGCGCGCAACGACAGCGAATACCTCCGACCGGCAGCGAGCAATGTTCGTCTGATACTAGTTCACAACTCCGGGGATTCAACGCATGTGCTTCTGCCTTCCAACTCTGAGCTCACCTACACGATATCAGATCAGTGTAATTCGACGATCGGGACGCTCAGCGACATCACTCGCAGTGCGCGTAAAGGATAAATATCCTTAGCAGTATGAAACTGTACTGGTAGCGCCATCTACTGCAATTTTTGATAACTAAGTGTTATAAATGGATAAAATTTGAATTTTATGATTATAAAAATCAGTTTTACTCATTATTTCAGAGCAATTACTTTGAGTTTATTTCTTTAATATTAAAAATCGGAAAATTTACACATTTTTGTATCTTTGGTAACAAAAAACATGAATTTGATACTTTTATTCATCATTTTTTGTGATTAAATTGGGCGGGTTCAAATGGGTTGGATAACATCCGGACGAAGGTATATCTACTCAATAATTTGCGTCCGGTGTGAACTAGTACACTAGTACTATTCATACACATCATCACACCGAAAAAATTTAAAGAAAAATGATAACTGCATCAACAAGTTTTACAGAATAAAAACAGTTTTATTCTGGTTCTGTAACCTTTAAAAATATTTGTCCGAACGCTGTGTTTGTTTTGTAGCGCGCGCGCCGAACAATTGACTCTCATTTTCAACAGATTTGTTTATGGCGTTTATACAATTCATGTCCGAGCGAACATATGGCACGCCGCAATAATGGCAGATAATTTTCAGACGGATGTCAACTTCCGCATGCTGCATGCACGATGGTGAGCAGCAGCATGGGACGACACACCGAAACCGAAAACCACCCGCATCCCACTTCTCGTACGTGCTTGTTTCATGCATTGCGGTACGCGCTACTGGCGGCACGAAGAGCGCGCGATGCAGCTACTGGTTTTGTCAGTCGCTTCAGAAACGCGCCGCGAAGAGCACCTTCGCCGGTAGCCATCAGGAACTAATTGTGCGGAAAGCGCGAAGCGCAAAAAACGTGAAATACGTGCGTTAACAAGTGTTGGACCAGTGAATTTTCTACCGGAATTAAAGGTAAGTTTTATTAAGTTTTAATTTCGCTGCGTTTAAAATTTAAATTTTGTTTTAATTTATTTTCTTTGTTTATTAATTTATCTATCTCTATGTAATAATTTGTCTGTGTTGACAATCGATGATTTCAATTGTTATACTTTAAAATTTCCCAGTAGGCTTTGGTTTAAATAACAAAAACAATTGTCGTTACGAATAAAATATTCCTAATCTGTCCAATTCGTCCTCACACTGCGTGCGGTGAACACTTCCTACAATTCGCGATAATAAACGTTTCTGAGTAATCGATCCAGTAATGCAGTCGATCTGGAGAATTCGCCGAGTAACTCCATGTAAGTTCCCCGCTCCCACTATTTTTAAAAATTATTATCACCGCCGCGCATTATGAAACGAAATGCGTTTCACATTTTTGCATTTTGCTGCGTTTTTTCTCGCATTATTTTAATCGTGAGTTAATTATAATTGGCTTGTTAGTTCAGTTGCTGCGCGCTTATTGCCTCCTGGTTCCTGCTTTCCTCTTGAATCTACAACAATAAATCAGTGGCTAACTCGCGCGCGCACCGCACCATAGGAAGGAAAGGTGAAGTGAAATAATAATTGACGCAAATCAACAAATACAGCGTTAACAATGCTGATTTCGGTTGCGTGCCGAAGGAGAAAATACCATCGACTGCGTTTAAAGAAAACCCGAGCATAAAAATAGCGCAAATTGACATTTTGAGGATTTATTTGAAAAGGGGCTCCGCTTGCATCCCTAATCTTTAACCTTAAAATAGATGGCAGGATAAAAATTAACCTTATTGAGACTATTTTTGAACAGGAACCAGACAAAACGATCATTTTCTTCTATTTCTACTTCTTGCTAGCGATTGCATGTAAAATATAAAAATACGAGTACAATACAATCATGCATGAATACATAAAAACAACTGAAATGACAGTCATAAAACAAGGAAGAAAAAAATCCATCTACATTTGGATGCAATAGTAGACAGGAAATGACACTTTTTGTGTCTGGTTCTGGTTCCACTTTAGTATCACTCATTTATCTAATTTTAGTAGGACGGTAGACACGCCGCATGTACTGCGAATTCTTCACGTTTTATCGTAGCCCCCGACCGAATACTATTTACGTTCGGCGAGGAGGACACAAAGTCACAATGCAGAAATTGTTAAATCGTTGAAAGTCAAGTTGATTTTAGCACGCCTCATGCCGATTTTGATGCAACGTTCGTTTATTGCCGCAATGTTAATTACAATTGTCGGCACACTTACATCACACCTCGGTAAAAAAAACAACACCGAACGCCGAACAATGAACGGTGCGCTTACACGCGCTTTTTTGCTAATTATTGCGTTCGGAATCGATCAATCGACGCAAAAAACACGGCATAACGAGTTAACATCGACTTAATTTATTATAAATCAACGATTTGTGGTGAAGCGTTATGCTTGGTTGGCATCTTCCTTCCCCTTTTCGTACGCACCGCGTATTTATGCGATATTACTCATTATCTAATTAGAATTTTAATAATTCTATCAAGGTTTAACGAGTTTACGTTTGCTGGGCATATCGCACTCGCATGTTAATACCGTATTTTCACTTTTATCCACAGCTTGGAACAAATTGCAACCGCAGACACAAAAAAGTCGGCCGTATTTGTTGAAGAAAAAATAAAACGATTAGAAACTACTCCCATTTACATAAATTTGCGCACGACTTCGAGAATTATTTATAATTGACACAAAAATTAAACATCACATGAAATTTTACACCAGTACATCGCGTATGGTAGAAAAATATAAACATTATCAATAATTGTGATGAGGGTTTTCATTTAATTTCGAAGGTGGAAACAATTGTTGTCATTGTAAGACAACGCGCATTAGTTTTTAGCATGAATCTATTTAGTCTGTTTACTAGAGCACGAAAAACAACGCTTCTTCATTCGTATTTTTCTTATCCCTGACAATAAAGGTGCGCGCTGTTTTCATCCTGACGTGCATGTGGTTTACGACCGTGTTAACATCGGAATTAAGTGCTTAGTCAGCCAGTAATGTTCATCAATATTGTTTTCACGGTCTTGTGAATGATTTATTTTCTGCTTAGTCCAGTAATCGCGCTTGCCACTGAAAGTGTCGGTATCAAACGTTATGATCAGTAATTAACAGTGTTATTATGTGCAAACGCGGCTGCAGCACACTAAATATTTATGCGTCGAAAGCAAACGCTCGCTTAGAAAAACCGACTGTACGTGGAGCGAAAATGAAGCGATGAATGTCGAGTGTACCTACTTGGAAGAAAGGTAAAAAGCGTTGTGCAAAACTAGTAAAAGTCGAGTTTCACTATGAGAATTAGACGTTCTTACATATACTTAATGCTTATGTGGCTCAAATTATAACGAATGCTTGACCACTATGGCTGCATAATTCACAACTACGCATAACTAGTTCATTTCTCTTTTGCAGCGAATTTTTGCTTTTAGTTTCAACACGAATTTCTGTGTGTGTTTATGATTCGTACGTGCCTTGGACTTGCGGTACTTGTAGACAAAATACATATTATATTTCCTCGCAACGTTTTTTTCTTGAATTTTCTTTGCGCGTGCGCAGCGGCGACTAATTGCCAATTAAAAAAATAAAAGTGCAGCGCAATCAACGAATTAATTCCATAGGATTTCCAACAACAACTGAACACACATTCTCTCTAAATCGTAATTAAAAATGATTCGATTGTTACAGTGCATCGTATAATGGCTCATGGTGTCGAAGGAGTCCGGTTGGTCCCTTCTACCGTCCGCGAGGCAGCATCCGACTGCGTTGTTAGTTATTTCTATGAGGGAGATCTGAAGAATATTGTGGCTGCCGAGGTACAAGCTGGAGCAGTCTTGGCCGAACCTTCACCGCCCGATTGGCCAGCCAAAAAGAAAACACCACTGCTGAAAACCCCGACAGAACCTGATGAAACTCCCGTCTTGAACGTCGTGGAAGTCAAAGAACCCGACATCACCGATGATGAACCACAAGAAGAAACTGTGGAGGAAGGCGCGGATCAGCAAGTAGACCCACAGACATCCAAAGTCTCTGGATACCTCCACAAGAAAGGCAAACTTGTAAATTAAACAAAATATATTCCACCGATGTTTTGCTATTGTTTCTTCTTTAAATTATTTGTAGCGTTTGGTATCATCGTGGAAAAGGTATTGGTTTGTGTTGGAGGGTCGGCTATTATTATATTACAGATCAAAGGCTGAATATGACACGATTAGCCCATGCAAGGGATCAATCACATTAGGTTCACCCTGCAACATCAAACCGGGATCTGCTTCCAACTGTGTGTTTCAAATCGAGACGCGCAATCATACAATTACCTTGGTAATTATTTTGTTTCTCAAGCATGAAAAAAAACTCTGAATATCATTTTCTATTATTTTAAATAACTTGCTAGCGTGCTGACACACGGGCTGAGCAGGACAAATGGATGCTTGCGATTTTGGGCGCGCTCAAACAAACCTCGCAGACAACGCGAATGTCACATTTCCGGTATTCGGCTGATGACTTAGCTGTGCGCGCACTTGCAGATAAGGTACGTGTGTAATCTTATCACCGAATGTGTCATATGTGATTGGTTGTCATGGTGACAAGGCGAATGTTTAAATATTGACAAATTCTATCATATAGCGGTATTTTTTCTGCATTATATCATACAACGTTTTACAGCCGCCTGTGCCTGCTCTCATTCGACAAAACACGCTGCCTGATCGAATGGGTAACAATTTCAATAAACAAATGCGATCGAAAGAGAAGAATGTGAAGACAATGGTGGAACGTATAGAGTCCATCGGAGGGCAGAGCTACATCCCAGTTGAAGGTTTAACTGCGGAGCATCTAAAGGCAAGCAAGGCCAGCCCGAAGTTACCAAAGAATAATAACTTGAAGAAACTTCTGGATAAGCAACTATCGGATATTAGTGCAAATAGTGACCAAGGTGATTGGATCAAGGAGGATGATTTGAACATAGAGACTATTGAAAATGATTTGTATGCTACTTTTGATCCTCCTCTGAATGCGCCGAAAGACCCGCATATTTATCAGGAAATACCCAATCAGGAGCATGTGGAACCCGAGGTTATTATCGAGAATCCAACGTATGTGGAATTAAACCAAAAGAAGAACAATGTGGAGTATTGGGAGCCAATATATGACTCAACTACGCCGGAATATGAAGGAGAAACTGTGGAAGCAGTCGAAACGGTTGAACCTGTGTTACCACCAAGACCCATTCCACAAGAATCCGCAGAGGAGGAGGAAAAAAATGAAAAAAAGGTCCGGAAACAATCAAAAATGACTAAACGTCGTAGTTTTGTTATTAGAATGTTCAATCGTATTAAACGCAATGAAAATTCTAATAAAAATGAAGCTAAAGAGAAGAATATTGAGAAACTTAGCACCACAGGTGAAAGTTCCGAGAAAGAAGTTACCGAAAACAGTCTTGAAGAAGAACCTGCTTCAGAGAAGACCACAGAAATCAATGAGCATGATCAAGGAGTATGTATACTCCCAGATGTCATTGAAGAACTCAATGGACTTTTACACACAAAAGAAGAACAAGTAATGAAAATATATTTTATAAATACAATTTTTTAAATTTATTTTGTTTAAGGAAAAGGAAGATAAAACTGACGAAGTGAAAGAATCTGTTACCAGCGAGCCTGAGAATGTCAATAACAATTCAGGTGTGAAAAAGTTCTATCTTAAATACCGCCAGTCATTTCAAAATCGGATTAAACGAGCAAAGTAATAGGCCGGAAGACAATCAATTAAATTCCTAAATATTATATGTACAGGTTATTATATCAATATAAAGTTTGGATTGTTTTTGAATGAATTTAGATGACTAGCAATTGTTGATGCTTTAGTTTTCGTGAATTTATTAACCGTGTGTTGATAGTATCCAATGTTTTTTCTTTGCTTTTTCAAGATTTTGCTTTGATTTTGTTGAATTTTTGTTTGTTTTGTATATATGCTTTAATGTTTCGCTATATTTTCGTTTGTGTTGGTATAGAACCAGTACCACCGCAGCTTGAGCAGCTTTCTGCGCTTCCACAACCACAATTATCGCTTAAACAGGATGAAAATGACCAGATTGAAGATGAAGAACCGAATGATAATAATAATGCCCATGAAGGTGATAAGGAGGATATCAATCACTCCGATTTTGATTACGACCTCTATGATCCAAGCCAACGCCTGAATATTCCACGTCCGAAGCTGATCTGTAAGCCAAAACGACAGAAACGCTTGAAGGTGGCGTCGGAAGTGACGCTTCCGATTGTGCGATTCTATGAACAGCAGAATGAGTCTGATGAATTCCGGTTGAAAGACGATAATAAACTGATGACGATTGATGAGATTCTAGACGATCTGGAGAATCATAATTACGAACCATTTTCCAGGCAGAAGGTGAAAGAACTGATTGAGAAGTTTAATGATACTGAGCATGAAACTGATGAAGATGGCAAGGAGGAAGAGCAGATTCATGTTCAGTTGCGACGTAAACGTGTCGAACAAACCGAGGAGTTGAATAGTTTGTTGGATGAATTGAGTAAAGTTGCAAATGCGCCGGTGTCGTCCCCAGATATGACGAATTTAGAAGATAATGGGCCTTACACTGAAGAAGAAGTTAGAATTACGCTAAAAATCAAATGATTTTACTAAATTTTGTATTTTTTAGTGGAAAAATATTGTACCAATCAGAAAACGCAGACTTTCTGACCCGGACTACGATATTCCTCGTCCACACAGCGCATTGCAGATAATGCCGAACAGCGAGAAAGAAGAAACCAGAATGCAGCCCACACGATTCTTCGGGCCTGTTATCATCGAACAGATTAATGGGTATTGTTGGAATTCATCTTCATTTGTAATAATAAATAATATATGATAAATTTTCAGTGACACCACTAGTTGTGGGACAAGTATAACCCCAGACTCTTTGGAGGTAGACGTGCTCAGTTACCAGGCGAAGCATTACACTCCTAGCATTGAAGAAGATCGCAGCATGCGCTCGTATACGTCGCATATTTATGCCAGCAATGATTCACATCTCAACAATAATTTCACACATAATAGTCATATCAATCAGAATCTAAAGGCCAACACTGGAGGCGAGTATGGAACAGACCTAGATCAGAATAAAGATGACACAGTGATGAAACCGAAATCACTATCGGCTTTGATCGTTTCGAAGGTTGAAAGTGATCAGTCGTTCTATCTAAATGAAGAAAATGATAACAACAACAATCAGAAACAGCTGGCTACTGCGCAAATAGAAAAGGATCAGAAGTTAGTCGCGCTGGCAGGACCAGTAGGCGAAGTCATGTCAACTTCGGTGTGTTATGATTCACTGGAACCTTCCGCGGGCGAGGCAATTCAATAAAATTATGAAATTCACGGATCGAAATCGAAAGACCAAAGACGTTAACCAAATGTAAAATATTTTCTAAGTCTATGTAATAATAAGGAAATTGTATTCTGAGTTTGTTTGTATATAGGAGAGAGTTTTCAAACATAATAATAATCATATAAATGAACTGCATTTCTGTATTTTTATGATCTAATCTTATACCGTATAAGACTAGCGGTAACAGTGACTCGTGTTCAGAGCACCGTAGTGGGTAGCGGTAGAAGTGACTCGTGTTCAGGGCACCGTACGAGGCTAGCGGTAGAAGTGACTCGTGTTCAGGGTACCGTACAAGGGTAGCGGTAGAAGTGACTCGTGTTCAGGGCACCGTACGAGGCTAATGGTAGAAGTGACTCGTGTTCAGGGCACCGTACGAGAGTAGCGGTAGATGCGACTCCCATTCAGGGCACCGTACGAGGCTAGCGGTAGAAGTGACTCGTGTTCAGGGCACCGTACGAGAGTAGCGGTAGATGTGACTCCCATTCAGGGCACCGTACGAGGGCAGCGGTAGAAGTGACTCTTATTCAGGGCACCGTACGAGGGTAGCGGTAGAAGTGACTCGTGTTCAGGGCACCGTACGAGGCTAGCGGTAGAAGTGACTCGTATTCTCGGTACCTTACGAAGCTAGCGGTAAAAGTGACTCCCATTCTAGGCACCGTACAAAGGCTTTGGTAGAAGTGGCTCGTCTTCTTCCACTGTACGTGGATGAACGTATAGCTAACTCCCATTTGCCCATGTTTTTAAATTAAAATTTCATCTATTAGACTTCCAATCTAAGTTTTTATTAGAGAATTTTCCGTAGATTAAGAATTCGAAATCTGTTATTGTCTATCTCTTTTAGTTTTCGAGATATTCGCAATTGAAAAAAAAGACAAAAAAACGATAAATTGCACTTTTTAGCACCTTTAGTCACGATTTCGGACCTTTTACCCCCCGAAATATAATTATTTTTAATTCTTATCTAGTAGAAAATTGTCTAAGCTTTCATAATCTTGAATTCATTGGTCGCTACCTCTCTTAGTTTAGAAGGTATTCGTTACCGAAACAACTCAAAAAACATGATCAAGCCCCCCTTTGCCCAATTTCCTTATAAATTACTTTCTACCCCTCTTATTGTTCCACCTCTTATTATGTTTATTATTTCACCGTATAAAGGATTTGCCGTAGATTAAGAATCCGCAATCCGCTCCTTTATATCGCTTGTACTTTGCGAGATAATCGTAACCAAAATACCGAAAATGTATGTATTTTGTGTTGCCTACAATCAATGAACGTACACTGAGCTTTTTCGAAAAGCGCGATGCGCATAAGTGCATTTACAACCAAACATATTACATACATATAAACAATATAAATAAATTCAAAGCTTTGAACCTTTGAATCCCGGAAAACAAGCATTAGCGCACATATTTCGAAACGCATTCCTATTCTCCTATCATTTCTAATACAATGCGCTCTCGTTGTAAAAACAATGCAAAAGCGCACACAATCGCTATTTGGTAGCCGGCAATAAACGAACAATACAATATTGTCATTGTTAACACAAATAAACGTCTTTGAAGCGGCTTATCGCCGCCGTGCCGGTCAGGCGTCGACGATAACACCAAACATAACGGATCCGCGCCGCGCTAGAATCATACTTTTATTTCGTACTTATTATCATTCGGGAGGCGATACTCGGCGCATTTGTGCGTCATTAATCAATTCAGCGTATGCGCACGCGGTTGCGTTGTGCACTTAATCTTAATTGTCGCCGTTACATTCTGCGTTTAATTAATTCCTATTGAAGCGGACATCTAATTATACATAAATAAATTTCAGTACGCGTTGGACGTGAAGCGTGGGTGGATGTAACGTTTCACTCTACCCTACTACGAAGCGAGTAAATTGAATTATTTGCGAATTTTTTTCCGGACACCAGCAGCGTGAGCTTAGAAAGTCCGCCTGCGGCTGCAAATCGCGACCAACTACCACCGCAACATCCTCACCAGTGCGGGCGTACATGCGAGCAGCGTGTGGTGAATGAACAAAACGAGATGGTTATTTTAAATGGCCAATGGTGGAAGCGGCGTGGTGCCCCCGGTGAATAGTTGAATAGCAATAGCGTTTAGCGTGCGGCACATGTAGTTAGTTATCCGGTTGGTAGTCGCGCTCGTTGAGTACTCGAGTGGAGGAGTGCAACCGAGAAGCGTGCGTGTTGTTAGTGTGTGCATGCATGTGTATGCTGCGGCCGGCTTCGGCTATTCCCATATCGCATCCCGGCCCATGCGGTCCCATCCAGTTCAGTCGCAGCGATTAAGTGCCGCGGGTGAGATGCAGAGGAGCTTTTCGGTGCGTGCTGCCGCTACCACGCGCTGAACGCGTTTCAAAAATTTTCGCGCCACGACGACGATGATCGAATACGTGCGGGTTGTTTTGTTGCTTGTTTTCGAAGCGGTCGTATTTTCCAGTGGCCAAGGTACGTCGAGATTCTATTACTTTATTACCTAATGAACTTTAACTTCTGAACTTCATGCTTGATAATTATTTGCGAATTATCCGCGAATATCAATTGTGTATTCACGCGATGTGATTTTCAATCTATCAAAAAGAGTTCTCATTCTCAAAGTTTGCGTAAACTTTTCCCGAAGTTTACTCGCCGTCTACTTTTATTTCAAACGCACTAAGCGCGCGCTTCAAACGCGCCGCCGCATAATTTATTAGCGACATAAATTTAATTCCCTGTGTTCTTTCAGATTTGATGTGCTGCTCGCATGCCACTGGCAGCTGCCGGACGTTTTGCGAAGAGGTGAGTTGAGAAAAGCGTGCCCCGTCAAACGTATCGGGAATTCTTTTGATCTCGCAATTGTTTTGATTACTCGACATATATACAGCCGGGCGATGTAATGCGGCGTCGCGACGCCCGACGCCTTTCCACTCGCCGCCGGCGGCGCGATGCGACACCTAATAAATTTCATTCTCCTTTCGAACGGAAGACGGCGACGCCGCGAGAGTTTTTTGAGCCCTAACGAAAATATGACGAGCCGCCCGAAAATATAACAAACGCCGCGCCGTTTTCGCTCGGCGTTTAATTTGTTCCTTTGATGTTTCGCTGGTCGTTAGGCGCTGTGAAAAATTGCTTCAGCGAGCGCGCGGCGATTAGAAAACGATACGCGTGTTCCACCTTAAACTTAAAACATCGCCGCGCATTTTTTTTCCTCTGGTGCCACTGCCACACCAAGTTGAAAATCGTTTTGAAACGCTGCCAAAGTGCAACTGCAACTCTTTCTACACACGTTGTCATTAAATATTAGTAACATGCTCGTAATTACAATAGCTGTAAACGTTCAACATTAATTGTGTGCAAACGTATGTAAATGACAAAAACGCGAACAATAAAATTACAAAAACTGAATTTTCTAAACCCAAACACGAAAATTTCATAAACCAATTAAATTAAATTCAATATTTCCGTGTTCCGTTTTATTTTCCGACCATTGTCTGCGTATTAAAGCTCTTTCTAAAGCAAATATAGGTACACAGATCGTTTTATTCTATATTTGCGATTCTAATTGCGCCTCGGACTTCTTGGAAGCATTCAAAATTCAAAATGCATACTTATAGTTGAAATGCAGCAGAAAACTGATGAATAATTAATGCGATTTTGACTCGACCGATGATACACAATACACATATAGCGTGTTTATGATACGACGGTACGGCACGTTTCATGACCAGCGCGCGATTCGTATTCGAGCATGGGCCTTTAAGACAACAGCTCACGTAGGAACAAAAGCCGACGCGAATCGAAATATTACCCGGATGTTTAACCATTCGCGTTTTGCTATGCATTGCGTGACTTTCCGTCCCGGACACATTTAATAAAATATTTTCCTAAGCATATTAACTAAATCGCTGGAATATTATTTCGTCGAAAATTCATTCAATTGAGGTGTTGATGCGGAAACCAAGAGCGCCCCGAAGAGAGGTCTGCAACGTCTCGATATTCTCGTGTGTCGTAATTGTGTCTCTTGAAACATGATATGTGGCGATGAGGCAAACCAGATGTGTATGGTACTTGAACCACTTCATCCATGCCTGCATCACATTGTATGCGCCGCGATCAAATTTTCGTCATTCGACTTGCCACAGTCGCAAGTGCCAGAGTGGAACGGGCACTCAAGAGGCTCTCATATGTTTAAAAAGCGAATGTCATTTATCAACGACACATCACACACACATATAGATGAATACGGACGCATGGGCGTCCATGAAGAAAGTGCATATGTTAATATACTGAACGATTCGGGGCGAGCCGATGAGAAATGTGAAATAAGATGTTATCGTTATACTCGTGGTAAAATTATAAGAACATGACAAAAATAACAACACCAGTGTCTTTGGTCTTTGACTCTTGGCTCCAGCCAGCTCGAACCGCGGGTAACCTATCGATGGCTTATCGTTATGACAGCGATAAACAAGCAGCGAGAAAGAAGTCATTTATTCAATTATGTCTACATATTCAAGCTTGTAATAATATTCATGCATGCAATAATGTGTGTTGCGTTTTTTTACCAGTCACACTTTTCATCATATCGAGTAGGTGTGCGATTGATTTTATTACTCGATTTCTACTGAGGTGTTCCACAAGCCCACAAGAGGACAGAATCCCGAGAATATGAGATTAAAAGTACACGGAGTGAGATTTACGGCCGCGCTACCTGCCTACAATTGATTGTTGCTAAAACATCATATTACATTCAATCACTGAATGCATTGTACGCCGCTTAAACTTGTCACCGCAGCGTTGTGAATGTAAATAGGTGCCATTGATGTAAATTCCCGTATTGTGCGCTGGCGGTTTGATCAATCGCTCACCTCCGGTCGCGCCGCCATTCACACAATGCAACAAGTTACTCGTTGGCACTTTCTTTTCATCATCGATTCTACAACCCCGAAATATGAAGGCGGGTTGCGCGCATTGTGTAGTCTATTCATTAAATTTGCGTCCAATTAGCCGGCATAGAAATACGGCCAGCATCGTGCTGGTTACATATTTAATACGAGTATGACTGAGGGTTTGTTGAATGCTGACTAGCTGAATAGAGCCGAGAGATTATGCCGAAGGCATGAAAATGGTATTAACATGATGTCGCGCGCATTTCTGTCACTTGCATTAAATCTATTTCTATTTGAATGTACATCTGCGCTAGGAGTATGCTTGAATGCTTAGACATAAGTCGAAATATTGACACTTTTGTCCTTTCGAGTTCGAAATTCCAGCAGTGTGTGTGGAAGTGCTTGTTTCTTTCGCATGTACGCACACTCGCAATTTATTTATGGCCGAAAGAACAAAACAAACATGAACACTGCCGCTGCAGCACTCAAAGTTTCCTTTTCTCGAACGCTTAAAGTTCTCGCGCACGGAACATGACGTTCGCGTCGTATTCATTTACTTCCATCATATTCCACTTAATTGAAGAGAATTTATGAGAGTTAATTGAATATAAGTGTATGAAACGAGCAGCGCGCGCGCACTGAGAGAATATAGAGCAAATATTTCGGCGTTGTTCTCTGCCGATGATGATTATGGTTGGAAAATGTGTATCCGGGACATGTGTGTAAACTATTTTTACCAGCCGCACGCGACAAATAACCGCACGTGCGATGTGATTTGAAGTTGAATAATACGTTTCCAAGTGTTTGATATTCCCTTGCGGCGGCGAAGGATTAGCCGAAAAGCCGACCGAAAATAAAACAAACGCTTTGACGTTGCGCGCGCGCGTTTCAACTTCTCTGACTTCTGTGTTCCATATTCTTATTAATTGCCACAACAATTTTCGTTTGAAAATCGCTGAAAACTTTTGATCTCGCGGCTTAAAGTTCCACGAGCGCAATGTGTTGTCGCTCACGGCACATGAGAATTTCGGCAAGAGTGGATCAAAAGCTTTCGGCTGTTTACGTTGGCGAAAGTTATCACCGGGATTTAATTACTTTTAAACGCGCGCGACAAAAGACTCGTTGGACTCTGCTTTGATCCAGATTCGAAAATTTTATTCCGACGACGGGATTTTTCTCCAGGATGTGTGTTTTGTACACGCGTAATGGTTGTACTTGTGAGTATTTACGCGCCTTACACATCGTTTATAACAACTAAAAATATGAAGTTTATTTCGAGTGTGGAGGATTGATATACGACGTCTCATTTCCTTCATTATGACCTGCTGAAACATTCCGTGCTTGTTCTTCGCGTCGCCCATAACTCCCACAACGGCGAGTGCCAGCAGTCACCGAGCAGCAGCAGCAACGCGACAACAGCCACATGGACCACGCTGCTTTGAACTTTATGAAGCCCATCTTGCAATAAACACACCCCGTGTATTAGGCTCGAAGTGCAAATGTGCGTAACGCTCAATCACGTTTACGTTTATCTTCCGCATCTTTCAAATTTCTCGCATGGCACACATTGGTCAGCTCGCAAAAAAACAACAACGTTGTTATATTACAACCGACTCCCTTGCTGATGTGTGTGTTGTACAGTCAAATGAGCGTAATGTTAATGCTAAGTTGCGTTTATTTTCGTCGCGGCGACTTTTGATATTTATTAACTCGGCCAGAAATAGTAGGCGCACCGGCACCGGCTGAAGAACTACGAACGCGCAGAGACCGTAGGTATTCGTTTGCAAACACACGTCGCGGCCGAGAGATGAAAAATGCGCACGTAAACCGAAACGTGCTCGAAAATGAAACAACAAGCAATTGATTTATAAATCGCCGCGCCCAAGTCTTTAGCGTGCTTTTTTATAATGGACGAGACGTTTCCGGAAACACGATACACCTACCGAAGCGTACGTCACGCAGACTCTCGTATTCACCACCGCACAACACCGAAGTCATTGTCACAAATCATTAGATAAGATAAACACAATGCGAGAAACGCACGTCGCGGCCGGCTAATGGGGAAACTTTAGATCTTTGGCTGATTTAATGCGCGTTTTCTCGTTGAATATTCATAACATTTTTTTGGGCTGGCAGCAGACTTCAAACGCGACAGTAAACGTGTAGTGCACTTCTAGAATAACAAACAGTTAATGCAGATTTGACTTCCAGCAAGTTTTATTAAGTATCAAGTGGGTAAATGGGAATTTTAGTCACGAGATTGATTACTCGAGTGTTTAATAATGTTTAGCCACGTGATGCTAACGATATTTTCTACTTCCACTTGTTTTGTGCTGTACCGTAAGGTAGTGCGCAGGCGCAAGCTCCACCCGTGACTAAAGTACTTTAGTCACGACTTGGTCGTCCGTGTCTAAAGTACCACTTTTTGTTTTTAAAATCTTGCGTTTTACCCGTTTAAGTAGAAAAAATTTATTTTAATAACATTCTCGATTTTTTGCTTCATAGAAAGACATTTATATGAAAATTATGATTAACTTGTATGATTTGTGAATCTGCGTGTTTAGGAGCTGGTGACTGCAAAGCTATTGATTTCTTATGTTTTTTATTCTCGCTAGCATTAAATTATGTCGATTGCCGGGTATGAATCGCTTGTCCCCGGCGTGGAAAAAGTTTGGCATGATAGAATAAACGCGTGAATATATCGAGTGTTGTCAAATCTTGCATCTTCGAATACACGTCGCGAATTGGGCGAAATAAACGATTTCTTGGATTGACCACCGCCAGTATGATAGTTGCCGTGCATAAAAGGTGAGCTCGTGCTGGGCGTCTGAGGCAGAGTATGTAGTTTCCAGTGTTTCGGAGCGTACATTCACGAACTGAAATATGATGAGCGCTGGTCCGAGCCCGCGAAGAAATTCTACCCGCCGCCAAACCACATGCGGCGCGTACAAGTAACGAGGCCCGGGGAGCATTTTTATATGCACGATGTGTAACTTACCTACGTCGCTGTCTCCGCACACCAGGAAACCCCGGTGTCGGACGGGCGCAACGGACGCGCGGATGTTAATATTTATTCTCGCCGCGTTTGGCATTCGACGTTTTGTTTACATTGTTCTGCGTATGATCAACTTCAAAGGGTTTCCAAATGCTCAGCAAGCCGATACTAATAGTGAATGAACACAATTTCCGCATGAAACGCGAATCAAAGCAGAAGTAATTGCAACATTATTGAATAAATTCTATTTTAACTTTGCTTTTTGATTTCGTGCATTTCTTGCATTCAAGCGGAAAAAGTCATGATAGATGGTATTTTTCTGATAGGGCTCGAATTCTCCGCGCTGACTGGCAACAAAATAAAACTTGAAACATGCTTAATTCAAACACATTTTGACAATGACGAATGCTACGCGCTAAGATGCACGGGACGTCCCGTTGCTACCTACATTCACCGTCTGTCCCAATAAGCACCGCACACACGCTAGTTGGGACGAGCAGATTTAGTCAAGTTGGCGTGATGATATTAATAAAATGTTTTATCTTGTCCATGTATTCCACGTTTTATCATCGGGACTAGTTCCACGGTTTATTTTTTCCTGCTGACATGCTAATAGCACCGTCGCGGTGCTGGGAATGCCTTGAAAAGATCTCAATGGATGTTTTCTAAGTAAGCACTGCGGGAAAACGAGGGTCTTTCGATAAATAATTGAGTATGCCGGAGAGTTTTCCGCGCAAAATTCGACAGATACACGATTCGGAGCGAGCATAAAGCGAACATACGTGTATTACATCATATTTTTTAGATTTACACGCAATCTTTTATGCATTTCTTTTGTCTTTTTTCTTGCAGATCTCCTTGGTGGAGATAGCGGCAGATGTGGGCGTACGCAATCAAACTTTATTAGATGTGCACAAAGTTTGCTCCACGCAACTCGTAAGTATCTTTATCTTTACAAAGGAGTTTCATTCGCCAAGCTCGATAGAAAGTTGGGTAATTTTGCGGATATTACGTTTTGTGTTGCAGGTGCAATTTTGGGAATGTCTTAATGCAACGTTTGATGGTGAGTTGTGAGTTTGTTTCGGTCATAACTGAATTAAAGCGGAAATATTGTGGTCAAAAATCCGATCGAGCGTGCGTGATTCAATTCCTCGCGCGTTTTTTTTTGTGTTTCTAAATTGTAATATGCAAAATCGACAATTCACACTTTCGATTCACTGCGAATATTTTAAATGATGTAATTTCCCACAAAAGTGAAAGAATAAAGACGTAACGTTTCGAGGGACGAAAAAAAAACGCTTGCTGAGACGCTAAACGAGTCCGTTTTATTGGATCTGTTCCCTAGTGCCTGCGTTTTCATTTGCCACCATTCCGTTTTATTCGAATTTGCTTGGCATTTACCCGGATTGTAATAGTAATCGAAAGCTATTTGCAATCATGCCTATACCCGAGAATCTACCCCAGAATGAAGCAATAATTTTTTATATATTCGTACCTTAGAAATGTCGCACGGAGATTCGTGGTCAGGTCGTGTCTGTTGTTCACACACACATAGCGAAAGCTGTCGGCGGGCATGCATCACCGCGACACGTGCAGCGGATCTGTATCAGGGATGTCGGAAGTCCGACGAGATTTCGTTCTTCATGTGCGTCGACCAGCAGAGCGACGGCGAGAGTTGCTGCCGACAGGCCTCAACGCCGGATTGCGGCGATGCTTGCCTGGACATATTTCGCAGCCGGTTGACACCTACACGTCAACAACGCGCCCTGCTATCGGAAACTTGCGAATTAACCAGCCCCGAGGTGCTCAATTGCGTTGGGGACTTTGTGCGTGTCACGCCGATACCGAATTCAAGTAAATGTATGTATCGAATGTTTGGGTTTCAATGAAATGCATCAGCTACGATTACAGATACTGCATGTTGCGAGGAATCCAACAAGAGTAAATGTCGTGAGGCATGTCGCTCCGCGCTTGTTCCGAACAACACACTGCAAGAGATGTTGGACATTATGCAGGTCGGCGGATGTGGTCCACCAGTACTACACGTATGTGCTACTAATTGAACTAATTAACAAGTTCATTGTGGCTGGGTTTGCAGGATCCACTCTTTCAATGCTTCATGCATCCAGTGGCGGATGGGCCGCAGACCAGCGTGAAAGTTTCCCGCATCGATCGCGTTGGCATGGACAGCGCCAAACTGCACTGCTGCCAGAAGGCATCAACCAACACGTGCCGCAAATTATGTTCGAAAACGTTCACGAAAGACTGGTCAATGCTGTGGGAGGAATTCCACTATAAGTGTCAAAGCGATGTCGCGCAGGAAGAATTGCGAAATTGCATTGATGAAGGTTTGTATACGCATTTATCTTTGAAACCATCAGTAATAAATTCTTGATTGTTCAGTTGATGAACCGTGTGAATTGGGTTGTGATGGATTAAGCTTCTGTACCAATTTTAACAATCGTCCCACGGAACTTTTTCGATCCTGCACGCCACAAGCGGATGAAGCAGCACGGAATGACGTGGATTTATGGCAAAGCCAACGTGAATTAACTCTACCCGGATTGACGCTACCTCTCAAAAACATCTCCAATTGCTCCCCGAATATGTGGAAGGCAGTGGCGTGCACTTTACAGATCAAACCATGTTCAAGACACTCGCATGCCAACCAAATTTGTCGTAATATCTGTTTGGAAATTCTCTCACAATGCGTGGAATGGACAGAAAGCTCCCTAACCCACTCTCCTGAATCTATCTGCGCGACGTTATCACCAGACGATCCAAACTCTGCCTGTGTGTCTCTGGTAAACTTCCTCACACCATCCGAAAATATGTATTCACGCATAGAAGGACAAGTGTCCTCGCCATGCAAAGGAGACCCTTGCGACGTGAATGAAACCTGCACGCCGAACAAGAATTGCACTCCTGGTGAACCATGTTTTCCCTACAAGTGCACACCAGGATGTCGCATGGGTGAAGTAAGTGAGTATGTTGTACCTGAAGGCGCCTACGTCCGGATACCAATCCCCAACAATCGTGGGTGTTTAAAAATATGTAAATGTACGAAAAATGGGATAGATCAATGCCAACCATTGCTGTGTGTTACCCTAAGTGGTTGCTGGATAGGCAGCAGTAATCAGAGACAACATGGTGAGACATTCGATATGGACTGCAACAAGTGCAGTTGTTTTGCAGGCGAAGTCATCTGCAGTAAGAAGCAGTGTCGAAGGACAGCCCTCGAAGGGGTTAACACTGCGTATACAACACTCCCATGCAATTGCCCAACGCATTATGTCCCTGTATGTGGGCGCAATGGGATGGTTTACCCATCAGCATGTTTAGCAAAGTAAAATTTATAACATAACCGTGTTTATTGAATTTCTAACCTCAATTATTTTCAGATGCGCGGGTTTAAGCGATTCGGAAATTGACTACGGACCATGTCAGGATCCATGCCGTAATAACCCTTGTTCGGTGGGTAAAAAATGCGTGCCGGATTCAAAAATATGTCTTTCATTGATGCACAAACCATGCACTCAATACCAATGCAGTAAGTTTAATAAAAAATGTTTAAATATGAATTCACTAACCTGTGTGATTGTAGTCAACGGCACGACACAATGCAGCTACCTCTCGCACGATCCCGTCTGCGACACTGAAAACACAGAACATGCCAACTCATGTTTACTAGCACACAGCAATAAGAAACTAGCCTATCGTGGATCGTGTATTACAAACTGCAAGTATCAAGGGGAAGTATGCGGATTCAACGGAAAAACTTACATCTCCGAATGCGCCGCTCAAGCCGATTACGCCATCGTGGATTACATCGGTGCCTGTGTAACAGTCGGACTGATCGCTGATCACAAAGCGGTGCAATGTGGAAATATCGAATGCACGCCGCTCGCACGCGAAAACTGCCTCGGAATGACACCGCCGGGCGCGTGCTGTCCAATCTGCGGCGGTATGCTGCGGATCATATACAGCAAGAAACAGATTGATCGCGCATTGTATGCGCTGCAGGCGAAGTCTACGCACGCGCTGACGCTGCGCGCGCTGCTTAAGGCACTCGAACGTCACGTCCAGGTTGCGCAATGCGCGCTTTCCGGCTATCTCACCGTCGAATTGGACATTTTCGTTGTGGTCAAGTCCACCGAAGCGCATCCCAGCGATCTGCAGCTGGAGGCGTGCGTGCGCGAAGCGGAAAAGTTGGCGAGTTTAATTAATCGACGGAGTCCGCGCGTCGCCAGCGAACTGAGTTTGAGCAGTCTCATCTATGCAAATGTCGTCCACGTACCGTACAGCTCTGCAGCGCCGAAGCTAAAAAATTCCTGCTGGTGGCTACTAGCGCTACTCCTGTCAATCTCTTCAGCGGTGAGATATTGAACTATCCAACGCAATTGTACATAGATTGTTTGTTTTTTCTGTGATATTTTACTGTAAATAATGTTTAATTCAGATTTTCATTTGATCATACCTAAGATACCGGTGGAATTGATGCGCCAAAGATACTATAAAGTTGCTAGTCATTGTAAGGACTATACTATTACATTACATGTGCATGAATAAAGGTTATGTTTACCATGATTCAAATCTATATATATAAAATTTGCGTGTCACAGTGTTTGTTTCCATACTCCTCCGAAACGACTTTACCGATTTTTACCAAATTTTATATGCGTATTCAGTAGGTCTGAGAATCGGCTAACATCTATTTTTCATACCCCTAAGTGATAAGGGTTGTTCACCCTTAACTTTTTTTTAAATTTTTGGACAAATTCTTTTGTTTTTATTTTTTTTATAATGTGGAATTAAAAAATACATACAACCCTAAATTTTTAGTTTTTTATTACCAACCCCTATTTCTTTATAGCCATTTTAGTAATTTAATCATTTTTCATCCCGCTCAAAGAAAATTTTTATATGCGTATTCAGTAGGTCTGAGAATCGGTAACTTCATATCTCTAAGTGATAAGGGTTGTTCACCCTTAATTTTTTTAAAATTTTGGTCGAAATTTTTTGTTTTTATTTTTTTAATGTGGCATTAAAATATACATACAACCCTAAATTTTTGGTTTCTTATCACCAACCCCTATTTTTTATAATAAGTAAGTTACTTTTTGTCTACACTAAAATTTATCTAGGAACTAGAAATAATTTATATGGCAAAACAACGTTTGCCCGGTTAACTAGTTTTAATATAAAACATCCCTGGATTAATCACAGAAAACTTTTTAGTGTTTTTGCAGGCAATGAAAATGTTAACTCATCGTTGCAGAAGGAAAACTTGAAACTATGTGGAACTTTGTAGTCTTTGGAGGCAACTTGATGATATTCGCATTTGGCTGGGAATAAAACCTAAGAACTCTTTAACTACTTATTACGTTGGCGTGTGTTCGCGGCGACGTGCGCCTCATGAAAGTCGCCGCAAATTAGATTTGCTCGCGAACGCGAAAATGATGGCAGCGGGAAAACGGTGAATCCATTACCGGCTCGGCACCTACTCGCCTACCTTTGGCGCGGTGGTGAATGATACGACGGAGGTCGATAATTCGACACTTCATATTACACATTCCACACGTGGTGGCATTGTGCACTGGTTAACGCTCTCATTATTCGAAGTGGAGCGTTTGGACAGTGTGCGGGGGCGCGCGCAATTTCTGGATGTTTCTATGCCGGGCGAAATTGAAGTGAAGCAATTTACATATTCATTAACGCGTCATTCAAGACGCAAATAATTAAGCCTTCGATTTAAACTCGCATGGCTGGTGGGCACAACAAGAACACTTGTGGTAATCTCGTTACGTCAATGATCGGAAAATCAATATGGCGGCGGCGGCACAGGTCAATTGTTGCAATATTATAATTTGCCCGCTGAAAATTTCAATTTTCCAAGCGCGCAGACTTTGTATAACATGCAAAAGTTAATGAACGGCGGGTGAAAAACAATGTCTGGATCCATTTGCGCGTTACTTTCCTTTTTATAGACTCCTAAGTGCATTGTTTCGCGTTGAATTAAATCAATACGCTATATCAATCCGTTTTGTTTACGGAGGGAATTGAGTTGCCTTCCACGTCCTCGCCTAACCGAATGACAATGCCAGGCGACAACGGAAAAGAAACGCGCGCTAATCATAATAAACAAATCGGAGATTATGGGATTAGACGCTCTGCATTCAGGCATGCACTCGTAAAGATCGTGAGTGGAAAATATTCATTCAACTCTTGATCATTAAATGAAAAAAATAGCGCGCGCAACAATATCGGAAAATAAACGTTATTGTGTTCCGCTTCATTAATATTCCGGGCCGGGCGACAATGAGGTGTGAATGAAACGCGAATGATAAATAAGTTCGTATTGTGCGCTTCATTCAGTTAAAAAACACTCCATTGAAAATCACCATATGGCGGCGGTGTTTGCCGGCGCCGCCTCCGCTTCGCATTCTCGAAAGAACGATAAAATGTTGCGCGGAAGAAGGACGCGATCGGCGAGCGGCGCGTTTGGCGTGTAGCGATCGCCGGCGCGCTCTCCCACCGCCGCCGCCGCTGCCGTCGGAGGCTGGCGGCGGCAGAAAAGGGACGCCGTTATGAAAATATCAGTTAGATCCGACGCGGCGCCGGCGATGCGTTCGACAGGGCGAGTGTACGTCCTCACGGATCGCTTGTAATACGAAGCGTGCATCCGCCGCCTCCACAGCCACAGCTTTTATCAGGCCCCGACGCCGCTAACCCGCGGTTGATAAATTTCATTACAAGTTTCCAACGAGGGTATCCACGGGGAAAATTTCAAGTAAGTTTGACATTGTTATCTGTTTTTTATTCGCCGTATTTCGAAAATAACGTCATTTGCAACGCAGCGAAGGGAGTATTTGTTCGTCAACTGTTTTGTATTCAAAACAATGCAAGGAGTTTACATGAAATTTGAGAAATCACTTGCTAATTGAAATTTAATCCGATTCATTTGTATCCAATTCTCTAGCCACTTCAATTTCAGTTCGTACATCTTGAACTTTCGAAAGCAATTAACAATTAAAGACGGATTTACGTAAACGCCAGCTCAAATTCCATTTTCAAAATGCACACAGAAATTTCCGCCAATTAAACACTCGAAAATGATTCAGCTGTGAACTTTAATCAAACTTGGATAAATGTGTCCATTCATTTTTCCGCCTGTTTCTCGAATGTATTCATCGCGTTTAAATTGTATATTTTAATTGAGCTTTTAAAATGAAAATTGAAACGGCGCAATGGAGAATGCGACCATATAATTGCACCCAGGGGTTTATGACAATGCACTCTATCGCAATGATAAATAATATCGGTCGGGCTGCGCTTTTCTCTGCTCGGGAGCGCGAAACAGCGTTGGAAAATGCGCCGTCGCGACGCGGCGGAATTCCGTTGCGTGTTCGTTGCGAGTAGACAAGCTAATGGAGATTTTTATCTTGGGAAACATGATTTATCTAAGTATACTTGTTCATTCATCCTGTTTAAGCAAAAAGTTTCGGTAATTTTTCATCATACTGAAGGGTTTTTCAAGCGGACTCCTTAATTAGGCAGAGAAATTACGTAGAAAATTGCAGTACAAGAATCTTGTATGTTCGGTACTTGTACCGCTACTCAAAGCATTGTCCATGTGGAATTTTTGTGAAAAAATTTATTTTTATTTGCATTTTTTCAAATCTACGAGTTTTTAAAACAGTTTAGTTCTGCAGTGTAACAGAAATATAGAAATGACTATGTTCGGTAGTTATACCGCAAGTCAAAGCATTGTCCATGTGGAATTTTTGTAAATAAGTTTAGTTTTATTCGTTTTTTTTTGCAATTTGAGAATTTCTAAAACAACTACACTCAAAATTTTGATAAGGACCAAGTGACGTCGACCTAGTGTAACAGAACAACATAAATGAGTATGTTCGGTCCTTGTACCGCAACTCATAACATTGTCCATGTGAAATTTTCATAAAAAAATATTATATTCGCTTTATTTTCACCAATCTACGAATTTTTAAAACTTAGTGTAACAAAACAATACAAATGCCTATGTTCGGTAGTTATACCGCAACTCAAAGCATTGTCCACACACTGCTCTAATCCAGGATAAAAGTAAATAACTGTGGGAATTAATATATTTGACAAGCACGTTAATAGCCTACTTTACGCGCTCCTCAACGACTGGATGAACTACACGAGAATATATCTCATCAAATGCATGCGTTTGTTGTTAACACTTTCCAAAATGAACAGCGTCAGTGTCGTTAAATCCACGCGCACATAAAAACTTAATGCCTGCTCATTCTATTCTCTCCGGTTTACAATTGATTTAAGTTTTTACGGCACGGCCGCTCCGTGCATCGAAAAAGCGAAGTTTCGAATTCGCGAGCGCGCGACAATGAATATGCAATAAATCGTAATGCAAAGCACAGTCAAAGCATGCCGAACTAAAACAAACGCCACAGATCGACTCTCGGCGAGGTGTTTAACCTTTCATTGGCGGTCCAATCGAGCGTTAAACACAAATATCGATCGGTGTTTAATTGGAATCGCGCATTTGTATCGATCGGAATTGGAAAAAGCGAATTGGTGAAAGTAACGCGAGCATATAAGTTGTTCCTGCCCGCAAATGTAGTCTTTTTTTCTTGTGTACGAATAAAATTGTGTTTGAAAGAAATAAATAACATCACCACTTAATTCAAGAGATCTTTTCATCGCGCTGGCGAATATTCTGTTGCCGGTAGCGCAAAAATTAGCGCATCTGCAAGAAGTCAACAATGTGGATTTATAAACAAGCACCTAGGTAGTATTCATGCGAGACTAGGTTAATGACAATTTGCTTTTTGAATGTTTTGTTTCGTTGTGCCATTTTGTGCAAGCGCGCGCGCACACTGTGTGTGCGAAGCAGAAGTGAAGATAATGAATCGTGCGACGAATAGAAACAAAAAAGAAGAAGCCGCACACACACATAGATATAAAACGAATCTCATCGTTGGTGTGCGCACATGTCGAGTCTTTTGACAGGCAGCTTGGCATCATTTTAATAATGGTTAGCGATCAAAATTTCTTTTCATCATCGCTGTGTCGACGGCGCAAATCCAAGACTAAATCAACATTTACCGGCCGACATGCAGATTTATACAGATAATTGGAGCTATTTGCATGTAAATATTATAAGATGCGAGATAAAGTGAGAGTTTTCATTCGCACTAGGCCACCATTGCCACAGCAAAGAAAATGAAACAATTTTTCAACGGAAAAGCAATGAAAGTGGACCGTAAAATGCCTAAAAATAAAATTTAAAAAAAATGTTTTAACAAGATTCACGTGTGTTTAACGACACAAGACAGATTATAACTTAGTGTTGATGAACTACTTTGAACCGGTGGTCCTCTTTGGGCAGGAAATTAAACTCCAGATATTTCACGGTTAATTTATACGAGGTGTTGTTATCTCGTGTTATGACTTTGACCTGAATAACTCGTTTTTATTCATGCGACTTGTCTCCGAAGATTTTTGAAGGAGAAAAATTCATATTGCCAAAAACCACTTTCTACCTTTGCCAGCTGACAGAACCATCCATATCGGATCGATTGTCCGAATATTTCTACTTTCTTTTTAATATTTGCTCATTTTAATCAGAAAAAGTACTTGGACATAACAATAAGCTCCGCCCATATATGCACAATTGAGGTTAGAGTAGTGTGTTGCCTATACTAAAAAAATTAAAGTGATTTTTATGTAAATCAATATAGAAACTTACTTAAATCTAAATAAAACGATGCGTGCGGATTGTTTATACGAGAAGAAGATTCCACTCGATGAATTCAATTCGCAACTGACCTTCTTCGATAGTAGCTCGAGTGTGACTCGGCGTAACCATCAGCGCTCGTCATAATTAAAAGATTCGAGCATGCGAACGTAACGGTGATTGCACGCAGAAGCGCAAAAAGCCGGCGAGCCGAAGAACAGCACCGATGCCTTCCTGGTCGACTTCGCTGCTCCGCCGCACAATGCGCCATCGTTTCTTCGGTTCTTTCTCCACGCTGCTCGCCAGCTTGCCACCTAGCGCAATATAAATATGCTATGTATAAGGTGTTGGTGTGGCAGCGCGAGCGGCGCAGTTCAATGCAAAGTCTTTGAGTAAGTACTTCGCCGCGCTCGTCGTCGCCGTCGTCGTGGTTGTCGTCGTCGTCGCGCGAGAGACCTTGTTAACGATTTGTGAAAGTGATAGACGGATGGAAATGTGTGGTGCTGTGTAAAACTCAACGCAAAGTAATTAAATCGTAACGAAAACTCCGCACGATTTACCCGGGAGCTGCAACCTTTCGGAAGAAGAATCAAGTGAATAACTTCTGTTAAATTGCGTTCGGAGAATCGCTGCGCTTGAATAATAATAATTCCTTGTGGTAAATTTATTTCTGCGTTTGAACAACAAAGTTACATAATATGCTCATCATCAGTTTCAAAGCAGGCTAATAAATAACCGCAAAAACTTGAAATTCAGTAAAATTAGCAAAAAGTTGCCAGCCCGGTGCGAAGAAATAGCGCAAAATTTGCATTCACATCGCATTCACATCGCCGTAAAGTTCATCAAAGAAGTACACAATCATGTTGTTTTTTTTTCGCCGACGCGCACGTACGAGTGTATAACAAACTTTTAATTCACTCAGTTATTCATGCATGTTAAATTTATGTTTTATTCTATTATGCTATACGAGGCTACTTGTTGGAAGTTTAATATTTAAATTATCCACTGGCGAAGAGAAAGGTGACTTGATGAATGCCCTCAAAAGTTATATTTAAATTTGACGATTTTTTTTTTCGGCTTTTCGAGGAGATAATTGCTTGTCATTAAAATTTACATTTTAAAGTTTGTTATGTACTTACCTATTAGAGTGATTAGAATGTCGAAGGTGTATATAAACTAGTTCAAAGTAGATACATGTGCATTAAATTCAATTGTCTCTTCTTGGTCGGTTCGACTTTCGCTTTTTACTCGTTTTTTGCGGGCGCTGGACATTTGAACACTGGATATATTTAATTTCATACATAAATTGATTTCATCGCTTTGACATTACGGGAATAAAAACCAAACAAGCAGAAAATTTCGATTAGAAATTGTGCGATTATCAAAAAAAGTAAAAGGCTGGGAAGGGAGCGAAGTTTGTTTATATAAAATTGGGCGTCGATTCTCCTGCCGGACACAATTTAACAGAAGTTTACAACGCGTGTGTGTGTGTGCCGCAGGTCTTAAACAAAACGTGAGCGGTAAGATGACTTGCCAAACATTGGAAGTGCAGTAAACATTTCGAAAAACTTTGCATGGTCGACTTTCTATGCGATATTTACAGCCGAAAACGTGGCCAAAATTACGTCGAAAATGTATCGGGCCGCACGGTTCGCGTGTGTATTGTTGTGCGTCGCGGCCGTCGTGAGCGGTAATGACTTTGAATCGACAATGAAATTTTTGACCGGTGCCGCTGACCCAAAAACCCCGCTGGCGATGCCTTACTTTCTCGCCGAGATGCGGACGACAGATGGCGATTCGACGTCGAAAACAACACCCGGAGGTGAGCAGCGGCGCCTGGTGGCAACGAAAGCGCGTCATCTGAGACAAATCGTTGATTTGAGCGCTGCACCGACGGTGTATCGAGAAACGGCTGATGGTAGGGAATATCATGACCCACGGAAACCCATCAGGAGTTACCAGGGCGCGAAGAAATGGCCGCGGAAAAATGTCGCGCCAAAGTTGCATTCACACACTGTCTATAAACCAAATTATGCACAGAAGCCAATGTAGGAACCGGCTGTATACAAACCAAGCGCCAAGAAGATTAATCACTCTGCGAAATCACACAGAGAAAAAGAAGGCGTTGAAGTTTACAATCGCCAACAGAATCACTTCAAAAGTAGGTTCCCAGAACTACAGACACCACAGTCGTATAACAATGATAACTATCACCACGCCAAAAGCGAAAATTATGACAATGCCGATGAAGATGAAGATGAGAATGAAGATGAAGAAGAGGAGGAAGAATTCGTACCGACAAGATTGTACGCGCAGGTTCGTCAATACGAGACCGAGTCCCATTTACCGAGCAGTGCGGAAGAACCTCGCCTTCGTAAAATCGTCAAAGATTCACGTGTACACACTGTCTACATGGAGGAAGGCTACGAGGACGGTGCCTATGACCATGCCGGAGAAGAAAAACACGCTGAAGAAGACGAAGCGCAAGTAGAGCATCGCCGACGTAGAAGAAGACACATCGATTCCTCGCTGACGAACGTCGAAATCGATACGGATTTAATCGGTAAAAACCAATTCGCTCTCGGTGAAGCTAACAACAACGCCGATAAAAAATACCCCTATTACAACGCGAAAGACATCAACAGTAATTCACCGCTACGATACGCGCAAGCAATGGATGACATCCCACAGAAAAAGGAGGGCAACATGGCTTTTTACGAAGACGCCCAGGCGAGAACAAAGTGCGATGAGGTTGTCGAGACAGTCGCCCCGATACCGAAGGACTTGGACGCTGGCGAGGAGGCGCCGGAAAAGACGATGGTGCCGAAATTACCCCGGCTTAGGAAGCTCGGCGACAAAATCGATTGTTTTAAGATGAAATTTTTTGGCGAGCAACCGCTTGACAACCCGCTCTTTAACGAGGAGTTTGTTGACCCTCCGAAGGACTTATTCCAGGAACCCGAGGTTAAGGAGACGGAAAATCATCTCAAATTGTTAAATCGAACCGGGAAGAGTTTCCAGCCACTGGCGGTTGCCGAATCTGGATTTCCGATTAATTCCGGAAAACTCCCCGAAGAAGATAATGAAGATGAGGATGGGGATACAGATGATGCTGCAACAGTTGTCGAGGAGCAAGTGACTGCAGAGGCAGGGTTCCAACCTTTGCCTGAAGCGGAAGCGTTGCACATGCGCCGTATTACAAGACGAAGGAAGCGGCCTTATCATCATAATAAATTATATTCGGGTCGTTACGCGGCTTATCGGCCGACGCGCAAGTCACATCCACCGCATAAGATGCCTCGTGGGACCACGCCGCCTACAATCCTGACCTCGCCGAATGTAATTAGCGAGGTGTACTACAAGGACCAAATTAAGCCCAGCGAGCAGCTGAACGTCTTCGCCGACGTCATAAATCACATTCAGAATATGTCCAGAGAAGACTCCTACTCATCAGCAAGTGAACAACGTCCGCATGTGGCTATCGCAACACCTGCGTCAATCAATACAAAGCTACGCACTGGACATCGGAAGAAACTGAAGCGGAAGTATCCCGTCATGAAGTCCACACAACAGTTGTACACTGAATACATGCGTCGTAGCAAGAATAATCCATCGCGTATCCAGGATGATATATCACCCATTCCACAAGAGAGCAATGTCAACGTGGGTACTGTACAAGCGCCCAAATCCTACGGTTCTATTGATTTGTTATCCTACAAGAATAATGCTGAAACACCTGTGCACTATTCCACTATTGACATGCCTCTAAATAAATATCTGGTTCCTGGAATGAAGCCGCCGCTTGCCATGGAGAAACCAATGATCTACTCGGATTATCAAAGCGAGAATATTCTGAAACGGAAAGACTGGGTGAATAATCACCGGTTGAGGCGGAGGAAAAGAGCCACGAGGAATTATTCGGAAATTCGACGTCAACCTGCGAGCAAACCACAGGAAGACCCCGAGGAGGAGGATGACAATGATGATTATGTCCCCCATAGACCCACCAATTACCATTATGACCCGGATACTGATCGAATTATCTACGATAAAAAGCCCACGACCGAAAAATCTGTAGAGGAAATTGTCGAGGAGTATTTTGAAGAGGAACCAGAGGAGGTGACAACCACCAAGAAGCCTCCACCTGCGCATAAGACAGTTTTTCATAAGGATGTGCTGAATAAAGCTAATGGAAAGACACTTGTTGATTTCATAGCGTTATTGAAGTCAGACCCGTCTTATAAGCCTATTGAAGATCCTACAACTACCAAAGAACCACCTTCTACGACTACTCAAAAAGCTGCTTCAACCACACCTCCTGAGTTTTTGAAATTTTTGGATAAATTACATTCAAGTGAAGGGTACAAGAAGATAGACAACCCGGAAGATGTCCCTGCTGCAAAGAAGAAACCGAAGACAACCACTGAAGCTCCTGTTGAAGAAGAAGAAGAGGAGGAAGAGGTTGTACCGGCGGGTAGTGTACAAAACTCACCAGGTGGTCAGTTTGGACCTGATGGAGGTCTACAAATCTTTGATATCAATGATTACTTACCAAAAGTGAAGACCTACACTCCAAGAACCTCAATTGATTATTCAAAGTATAAAACTATTGAGAGGACTACGTCAAGACATAATTTGAGCAGTCGTTATAGTGAAGAAGATGAAGAACCCTTTGAAAAACGTCCAACTGAAGCACCTACAGCTTCAAAGTATCAAACAGCTCCCCCTAGACCCAAATCACCACCAAAAGAAGAAAAAGAAGATGATAATGATGATGCGCCACAGGTGGCTGCTGTGACACAAAACAAAGACGAAGAAGAAAAAGAAGACGAAGTAACTACAACTTCCAAACCCACAACGACCACATCAGCTGTAAAGATCCGTATCCGTGGCAGGCAGCGACCTACAAGACGTCCCACACGTACCACCACAACCACCAAACCACTTTCCGAGGTTCCCACCGATGAAGTAACATCTGATCCTGTTGAAAATTACACCCCAGCGACACATCGTCCCCCATCTCGAGTTTATCCACGTCGCCATCGGCCAAAAATCCGTGTCCGATCAACCACCACTCCAACTTCAGTTCCAGTGGAGCCTGACAACGATGAGGATTCTTCCGAAACAAGAAAAGAACCATCCGCCGTCAGCAACATGTGATACCGGCGAATCACAAGCCCGATTACACTCCGCTCACGATCTCGAAGCGCATGGACGATTATCCCACGATGCTTGTGCAGCGTCAGGCGCGGCTTGTAACACCCGAGATAATAAATTATAATCAGACCGCCGGCGGCACGGCAAGCCGCCCGGAGAGATCAACCCGCGGCAGTTCGCCGCGCGATATAAAGTTGCTCGCTTAGCAACCCAAGCCTCGACGGGAAGTCAAGATAAAGACGCGCCAGAGGTGCAGATTAGGCTGGATTCGAGAAACATTGACAGGAGCGATGCCCCCAACGCACGCAGTCCTGTAAAGTTCATCAAGGATCCAAATAAGCGACTCTACTTCTACGCACCGTTATGATGAGAGTATTTGTTATCTAGTACTATCTATTTGTTATTGTAAATAAATAAATTAAATTTTACTTTTTGCGATGTGTGTTTTTTTCCTCTGTTGTCGTTTGGATAATTTCAGGAACAGTTCGTAATCTAGTGTTTTGACTCGTAGCAGCACCTGAGGCGGAAAAAACCATGTGAAAAATGATCGTACTCTCGAAGACACCGTCGAAGAAAATCTTTCACTCGACGCTGGAAATGCTGTCGCTGGACAAGGACGTAGCGTCCACCTTTCAGCCGAAAGCTACGGAAAGTGTCGCAGCTAGACAACAAACATTCGATGGCGCGTTCAACGGGCAAGGTAAAATCAATATCCATTACTAATGTGTTTAGGCCCGAAGGCATTTTATTTACGTACCGAAACACACTCGGACCTGTCTTGTTGAACGAGGGATAACACGATATCCATTGATATTCGCCATTTTTCACTGCGTTTTTTTTTGCGATTTTTTTCGCGCTGGAAAACACGCTTTTATTTTATTATTCGCCTAGTATTCACTTAGCATTCAGCCTTCGTGCATGATTAACGTCGTACGTGTACCGCGCAGGTTGAACATAAGCCCACGGGAATATATTGCTGTCCAGGATGACAAAAGACACGCCTAGACAAGTGCCGGTTGTGCGGCATTAAAATTTAAGCGCTGAATGCGATGCGTTGTTTTATGGGATGCTACGGGTCTTAATATTTCATAAGGATTACAAATGCTTCGCTTTTGATAAATTGCACGATTTCGATTGATACATATTTGTGTTTGCTTAGAGTACTTCTACCCGTTGATCATCGCCTCGATTGGATTGACCGTGTTTCTGGTGACTGTCGCTGTCGTCCTGGTGCGGAAACATCGCATCAAGCGGGAGGATAGCGCCAACAAAGCCAGCAGCATATTGGTTTATCCATCGCAACAAGGATCTCTCCAACCGCAATTCTTGTAAGCTGCGAGTCTTATAATACTTCTTTATAGAAAACTAATTTCATCAAAACTTATTTTTAAAGGACTAAGGAAATTCACTTCAGTTTACCGCCATTGAGGAGTACTTCGTTGGGAGATCTGCATGAGACCGAACAGGACTCTGATGTTGACATTGAAACTGAATCTCTGTTGCCAACTACTCAACATAACCAAAGATCACATTCTTTCAGTATGTATCAACACATATCTACAACCTATACCTGTCATAATATATTACGTATTAAGTGGCTAAATAGGAGTTTTAGTCACGCCGTGACTAAAGTACTTTAGTCACGGCCTTGGCCGTCCGTGTTTAAAATACCACTTTCTGTGTCTAAAAATCCTGGAAAACTGACACTTTAAAGGTGGAAGTATAAAAATGAATTTATCTATTTATTTTCATACAGGTTGCTATGGCCTAGGAGTAATTGAACCAGCTCTATACAAGAATACCCTGGACTTGGATGATATTCAATGGCCGGATGGACATATTGGACGAATCTGGTTCTCCTTACGATACGAACCATCAACTGAAAAACTTCTGGTATCCCTGCTAAAGGCCAAGAACTTACCATCAAGAACCCTGGGAACTGTCAACAGTTGTGATCCATATGTCAGGTAATGAGTTTACCCAAAATTATAAAAAAGATATTTAAATTCCGTTATTATTTCAGATTGCACTTGATGCCAGATGAAAGACGATACTTACAGTCAAAGCAAAAAAAGAAGACCTGCAATCCATACTTTGATGAAACACTGGTCTTTCATGTAAGAACCACTTGTAACCACTTGTTACCAGCCCAACAGAAAAAAAAAACTAAAACGTTTCTATTGATCTTTAGGTGTCTCCGAAAGATATGTCCGATCATTATTTGAAGTTAACGGTGATTGATGGCGGACGGACCAAGCGGCGTGCTGAAATCGGCCACGTCACCTATCTCCTCAAGGAATTGGAAATCGGAGACGGGTCTGAACAGCAACTCTTCAAGCTTGACTTGGAAAAGGTGATAGGTTCTACATATATCAATTTTTTCAATGTTAATAGCATTTGTCTTTACAGGAAACTACAGAAATTCGATCGGATCTGGGTGAGCTTCTCATTTCATTGGTATATAATGAAAACCTGTGTCGTCTGACCGCTACTGTCATCGAGGCTCGTCGACTCAAGGTAAGTAACAAATATTATATTATATTTTAAACATATGAAAACAGAATAATAGCAGTACAACTAAATAACATTCCAAAGATAAAAGTAAGTACAAGTTTCATCCAGTGAGTGAAAAGGAATTCTCGTTTCCTCATTAAATGCTTCAATATAAACAGGTTGCGATCATTGTAAGGCGGGTACCTGATGTTTTCAATCCTCTCTACTAAGGAATTCAAAGGTTTCTTCAACACACTCTTCTCATGTGTGAATGCGTCGAAGGTCTTCTTTCCGTGGTAACTCCCAAACCCACTTGCACCCACACCTCCAAATGGTAAACTTGCTGGTGCGACGTGTATCAATACATCGTTTACGGCCACACCACCAGAGGAGGTTCTGGTGATCAAATGTTCAACCACCTGCTGATTCCTAGCAAAAATGTAAAAGGCCAAAGGTTTTTCTCTTGCTCTTAGAAAAGAGACTACCTCATCCGGATTCTGTATTACTACTATTGGTAGTATTGGTCCATAGGTTTCCTCATACATCAAAGAAAAGTTGGGAGTTACATTTGCCAGAATAGTTGGTTCAAAGTATAAAGTCTCGCGATCATGGTGCCCACCATATGCTATCTCCTTACCATTTAGGTAGGATACCAATTGGTCAAATTGTGCTTTGGATATGATACGTGCATAATCCGGGAGGTTTGTGGATCACCATAAAACGCTGAGATGACTCCGGTACCTCCCGGATAAAACGCTTCATCACCTCTTGCGTGCAGAGGATATAACCAGGGGCAATACAAGTCTGACCAGCGTTCACACACTTACCCCACATTACCCTCTGAACGGTAAGATAGATATCTGCTGATTCATCTATATAAACAGGATTTTGACTGCCTACCACGAACGTACCAGGAATAAACGCCGTGGCACAAATCGCCTGTAAAGTTTTTGCTTTGTTTAGAGTTCCTGTGTAGAATAAATAATCAATATCAGGTTGTTTCCTGATTGATCCATCAGACACCAAATAACAGGACCCATCCAAGTAGTTATTGAGTTGTTCAATTAGGAATTTTGTGGTATGTGTTGCCATTTCCGGAGGTTGTATCACCACACAGTTCCCTGCTGCTATGGCACTTGCTAGAGGTTTCAAGGTACTCCGGAAGGGATAATTCCATGCACCGACAATAAACACAACCCCATATGGGTCACGGTAAATTTGTGGGGTACCAAAAAAGTCCATAAGGCGTTTGTAGGTGTTCTTCGGCTTCAACCATTTTTTAAATTTACTGAGAACATTAAGCACATCATTCTTGAGGAACTCAATTTCAAATAGTGATGCTTCAAACGCATTCTTGCCCAGATCCGCCTTGAGGGCTTGGAGCATCTTATACTCCTTATCCTGGTACATACGGAATAGATTAGTTAATTGCTTCTCCCGGAAGGAGACCTCCATTGTACGCCCCAGATTGAAACTCTTCCGTGCTATTATCGCCGCATTGTCAAAACTTAGACACTTCGCCACAACTTCTACAACCACTTGCTCCGACATTTTGCGGGCGAATGAAAGATGATGGTCAAAGTATGAAAACATGAAGTAAAAAATAATAATCTGGAAACTAACAAACACGATCGCCTTGGGACCCAAAGCGTCATTCAATAAATATAACAACACAATTTACCGCATACACACAAAAAACGTTGTTATTATAAATTGTTATTATTTTATAAGCCGCGTGATTTAATGAGGTGTCAAAGGGCGTTTTGCACCACGAATAACAAAACTATTAAATTTTTTCGAATTCACGCTCGAGTAAATAAACCTCGGCTCACTTTGAGTTGCATCAACGACTGCCTGCTGAGCTTTGAGTGTTGGTGTTGCAAATGGGACATGGTATGCATCAGGAAATACAATGTGTTTCAATACGAGCGTAAATCTTGCGCGAATCAATCGATGATTCTTAATCGGCTCGGAGCGGTGTGTAACCTGACAAGTTTCCATTTCCATCCGAAGAGAAAGGAGTAACCTGCATTCAGGTAACTGACCGTTCTCAATACGGCAGAAAATCACACATCGCGCGCAAAGTGTGATATTTATGTAAATATTAATTCATCTCACATATTGGATCTTGCACAAAGCACGCAAAACTTGATTTATACCGACAGCAATTGTGAGTTAAAGTTAAAGTTAGGAAACACGAACGAGGAAATGCAACAGTGAAATGTACTTTTGCAAATTGCACGCCTCTGGCCTAGTGAAGCATTCCGGGGATTACCTACCTCTTCGCCAGCCGGATAATTGTATTGTAATTATATCCTAAACGTGCACGGCGCGCAAGTGAAGCAGCTTTCAATTTCCAGCTCACACATCGCCGACAATTGCGTGAAAGTCTGATTACACACTCGTTTCACTCGCGTTTGAACTGCATTCACGCTTATGACATAATCTCACACATAATAAAATTTGCATTCGAATTGAATGAAGCCAAGAAAAGACTTTTCCATATTGGACAGGTCATGGCATCATGCTTCGCGTTTGGTGAATAAACATTTTCGTTCGCTGAATGAATATCGTCATATCGATAGTTTTGCGAATTCGTTTCGACATGCATAGTGCACACTTAAACATTGTTATGGCTACGACATTGCCCAATGCATACATGATGAGTTTTAATTAATAAACCTTTAAAGTAAATAATTATAATAAAGATTAAAAACCAATCGAATGCGCATATATGCTCAATCATGTTTACGCTTTTACTTTGCAAAGTATTGTCATTTGCATGCATGAATAATTGAATGCTACCTCAAGGAGATATCATCATCAGCAGCGGAGGAAAGCAAGTGAAACATAATTCTGGAATCGTATTGACATTGACATCCATTCGGAAATTATTGATTGCGAGTGACAATTAATAAATGAGAATTAATTCCGTGTGATTAGCTGAATGAAGAAGTGCAGTCAGGCGAACGTTGAATAAAAAAGTGTTTCTCTGTTACCTGTGGATTCCAATAACTGGTCTCGCCAATCGATATCGACTCATTTACCTGGATAATTAATGTTGCAAAGTTGCAAGGGAACAAAGAAATCTCGCGCGTTTTATTTGCACAAACGAGTCAACGAGTTTTAATTATGTATTAAATTATTGCTAAAATTGCTACTAAAAATCATACAATTGATTCTTTAAATAAGAGTTATTACTGCAAACGTAATTGAACGCAAAAGCGCACTGCAATGGTGCAAAGTACCATAATCATAACTAATTAAATTTGCAAACTAGTCGCTCGTAAACAACATTTAAGTTATAAATAATATGTGATACAAATATCATATAATTTGCAACATTAAAACATCAGTAAATAATTTTGTTGTTGGGCTCAATTAAAACGTAGTTTTGCATGACGACAACCACAACCACTCCAGTAAGAACACGAGTAAATACTGGATAGCTGTAACCGGAAACTCCGCGCGCTTCTTGAGGACAAAGTTCAGAAAGCTGCTCTTCGCATCCGTGTATGGCGGATATCGCGGCGCGGTTAATTTATCCGGGATCAGAGCAAAGTCTCTCTTGAGGACGCTCTTCTTATGCACGAAAATATCAAAACTCTTCTTTCCGTGATAGTTCCCCATGCCGGAATTTCCAACTCCTCCAAATGGTAAACTCTCAGTGGTGATGTGCATCAAAGTATCATTCACACACACACCTCCTGAAGATGTCATTTTCAACATCAGCTCAACTTCTTTTTTGTTTTTTGAAAATATATAGAATGCCAGTGGTTTCTCTCGATTGTTGATGAACTCCACAGCTTCGTAGATTGAATTCACGTTGTAAATTGGTAAAATTGGCCCGAAGATCTCCTCGGTCATGATGGGATCACTGGGGTGTACGTCCACAATGATTGTTGGTTCGATGAATCGTTCCTTGGCGTCGTATCCGCCTCCCATGGCGATTTTACCATTGCTCATCATTCCAACCAAGCGATTGAAGTGTTTATCTGTGATGATCCGGCATAGATCCGGGGAACTCTGAACGTTGTTACCATAAAATTCTGTAATTGCTTTCTTGCATGCCTGAATGAATTTTTCTTGGATTGCTTTGGTGCAGAGGATGTAATCCGGGGCAATGCAGGTCTGGCCAAGGTTCAGACACTTCCCCCACATGATTCTGTAAGCAGCCATTTCAATATCTGCTGTGGAATCGATGTAAACAGGACTTTTGCCTCCCAATTCAAGTGTGGTTGGTGTTAGATACTTAGCTGCGGCTTGATGGACAATCTTACCAACCATGGGACTACCAGTGAAGAAGATGTAATCAAATCTTTCTGCTAACAATTCTGTAGTTTCTTCAATGCCACCTTCAAAAACTTGATAACACTCTGTATCCAGATACTTGGGTATTGTCTCCGCGATGAATCTGGCACTTGCACAAGCAATCTCCGAGGGTTTCAGAATCACACAGTTACCAGCTGCTATTGCACCTGCCAAAGGTAGCAGGGTCAACTGCATGGGATAATTCCATGCTCCCATGATTAATACAACTCCAAAGGGATCACTGTAGATTTTCAATTCGTTGAGCAAGTTAGCAATATCCTTCGGTTGATCCTTGGGTTTCATCCAGGACTTGAAATGCATGAGGATATTGGTCAGGTCATTCTTCAACAACTCGGTTTCTCCCAGTGAAGCTTCCGATTTATGCTTACGCAAGTCAACATTCAACGCCTCCCACATTTCCTTCTCGGTCTCGTTATACATCCTTTGTAGATTCTTCAATTGCTGTTCACGGAACTCAACCGTAAGGGTTTTATTGGACTGGAAAGCTCTACGAGCGATCGTCACCACATCCGCAGCGGATTTAATCGGACTCTGCGGCTTGCAGAAAATCGTCTTGCCATTGGGTTCCTCATCGAAGTTAACAACCGCATAGTTGGTCTCACCTAATTCTTCACCCCGGGGAACTATGATGACGTTCTCCATCATGGTCCCAAGTTGGTTCCAATCAACCGAATCACTTCACTAAGTTGTAATTTCACCACAGAAATAAACAAACAAACTGAGTTGTACTCGATGCCGGTGTGATGCTCTACCGGCGTCTTATGTCGGGCGAGTGAGGCATACGATTGGCTTCCTGGTCGGCGTGCTTAGTTAATTTATTGGCGCGGTAGTGGCGCGGATACGACGAACGTAACGAACGTCACCAGCCGCACGAACGAAACCCGCTGCTCAAACAAAGCTTTTACGTTTGTTACATTATGCATCTACTACCGCACATAATGCAATCATGTACGGCATTAATTAAACCAGCGTTTTCTGTATTAATTCATAATCAATCCGTTCACCAGTGATCATGATATTGAACATAAACTTGAACAAATGTAACAAAAGTGTTTTTTTTTCTTCTTCGCCAGCGGCCTTGCGAAAAGTTCACATACTTTTAACTCGGAGATAAGCTGACGTGAATGGCGTCCACATACGAACAGATTTTATGAATACCTATATATTAAAATCAATTCAGGGGGACCTTGAATCATTTTGAATCATTTTCGATTTTAACACGATCGCAGGTTCATATTTGCTGCTGCTATTGCCCGAAATGTGTTCGCATCTGGCCAGCGGCTAGACCGCTAGACCAACAACTCGTTGCGTAACGGCGATAAACGAAAAAAAAAAAACACATCGTATCGTTACTTGTGTTCAAATTGTTAATATGCATAATAAATTAATAACATAAATACCAGTGTTTCTCAACCAACAAAAAATAAATAAATAACAAGGAACCAAATATAACGTTCCGTTCAACTTGTTGATGACCACTACTTTGCATTGACAATGCTAGTTGATAATAATAAATATTAAAAGCGTTGTTGAAATTGTTACATCGCGCAGAAAAAGTTCCGTTCTGCACGGGAATTCGCGCCGTAATAAATTACGATTAGTAACAAATTGCATAAATTGTGATTTAAAACATTTTTCGATCGTTTGCAAAGCGTTTTCTTTCACGTAAAACACAATGTCAAGATTTTAAGCTAATAAAATATTTAACGAAATCTCTTATCATGAAAAATTGATAACAATTCTCCAAATATCCAGCCATTCATCGATACGGAAGTCGAGTTCACATTACTTATGTAACAAGATGTAATAACAGTGTCTGTTGTCTTGCTGTGCGTACCCAGGTTATAAATACAAAGAAACAAAGTCAAACAAGTGCGTATTCATTATTAATTGGGGAATTTCGACGATGAAAATGTATCTTTACACTCAAATACAATTTTTTTGTTATTTTTAATGGAATCCAAGAAAAACAATGTCAAGATAATTATATCTATTAGTTTTGCTTTTCTTTACAATCGATGTGAATAAGCACATCAAAAGAAACGTCCGTTTTATTCAATTGCGAACAAACAAAATAACCGTCCATTAAGCGCGCGGTAATTGATTGTAATTAATTCGCTCTCTCAATGCGAACGTTTCGGAAAACGATGGAACGAATAATGCGGCTGCAGTTTCAGGGTGACAAGCACGAGGCCTACGTCCGCCTGACATTGAATCAGCACTACAAGTCGGTGAAGGAGAAGCGGACGCGCGTGGTGCGCAGCGCTCAGGAGTCCGTCGCCACCTTCACCGAGGGCTTCAACTTCAAGCTGACGCCCTCGCAGATGGACATCACCAGCCTGGCGTTCCACATCTTCCAGTCGACGAGTGGTTATGGTAGGGGTACGTGGCTTTGCATTGTTTCTTAGATGTGCTTTCGCAGTACTCGATGTGAGAATGAAATTAAAATTCAATGAAATTTTTTATCCAACGTAATAATTTAATTCACAATACAAACAAAGCGAAAAAATATGATATGAGTTAAAAACTTGTTAATTAAATAATCATTACTCGACGGTTTGCGGTCAATTCGCCACCCACTGGAGAAAAAAACCAAAAACCACACAATTATTTCATTAATTCATGAATTTGTGCGGTGGTGGGCTTCAGGAACACATGTCAGTTTCGATGGGAAGCTCACGCCTGCTCATGATCATCTAGTTTAGCCCGGTCGGGGAGGTGTGGGTTAATTAAACAGCCCGCACATCGATATAATTACACACTGAACTTTCGCCCGCGCACGCATTACGAACGGACAATCGCAATTATAATATTACCTATGCAGGGATAATAATGATAATCGACGATTGAAAATTTTGTTGTAAGCGATCTCGGCGTAATTGTACGATGCGCTAATATCTGATTAATTTTGCAGATAAATTGATTGGCAAATGCGTGCTGGGATCGTACATGTTCGCCAGGGGCAAGGCGCTCATTCACTGGAATACCGCGATGGCGAACTCCATGGAACAATCGCAGCAATGGCACGTGCTTTGCGAATGAGGAGGCTAGCTCCGAGCATACATACATTTTAGCCAAGTTTTCTCTGTCCTTCATTAGCGCCATCGGGCGGATAGCGAATCACATAATATTTACCTGTAAGATATTCAAACCAATATATACATGTAGTTTCGGAGACTATAGCAGACTATCTACGTAGAACATTTCATTTTATTGAAAATTTATTCAATCGCAGTTTAAAAATAGAAAAATTGTTTGATTCTAGCTTTATAGAAATATAGTGCGCATAATTTAGTATAATATATCCACAAAAACACTTTTAAAAAAGCATTTTTTAAATTTTTTGTTTAAAAAATTATTTTTGATATTTTGGATAATATTTACAATGAATCTATGGCTATGGCGGTTGTAGATGCTGGCAGAAATGTGTGAAAACAAGTCAACAAGATTTCGATTTGAATTTTTACACTCTTAACGAGATTTTCCAGCCGGAAAACAAAGCATTTGCATTTCGTAATATATTTTCCTATTTTCATGCGATATTTCATGTGAATATCTGCAGATGCATTTCCTCGAAATGTTTAGATGCTGTATTAAAGATATAAACAACATTGAGTCGTAGTTTCATCCACACACAAAACTAGTCCTCCAACTTGCTGTTTCTCGTAGTTACCGAGTGCCCGATTTCCCGAGAAAATCGTGTTTACCTACCAGCAAATCTCCGGCCTGCTCCTTGAATGCAACACACGCCGCCTGGCTGCCAGCGGTGCAAAAGGACGTCCCAGCTGATCGGTGATCACTCCCGCTACTGAAAATCAGTTGCTCCGTCGCGACGCTCCATGCCAGACGCGTTCCATCGACGCATGCATAAAACTTTTGGCGCTGCGTGTTCAGATTACTCCACGAATACTTCTACAATTTGGTGAATCTTCCGGAAGAATTCCTCGGGCGTAGACAACACTAACAGGTATAATTTTTATTTATTTTTTTATTTTATTTTTTGTTTTGTTTATGTGGAATATTGCATGATGCGTGCGTTATTTGTATGAGAATCACGAGCGTGTTTCGGTAAACGATTTCAATGCGGGTGGTGCTCCTCTGCGCTGGTTTCATTCGTACAAATGCACAAAAATTTGTTTTCGGTGCGTACTCTCCATTGTGCTCATTATGCTCGGGAGTTTACCGTACGTCTGGATTTCGTTTGTTCTCGCTTTCCTTTCACCTCGCCGGCTCGTTTTTCCAGCGGCCGTGAGTGAGTGCGTTGTATTAGATTACAAATCCTAAATGAATCTTGATGAAAAACCTAATGGAACGAGCGCGACAAATAACGAAGTAAAAATGCGTCCTTCTTGTTCATTAATTTCTGCTCTCCCTTGTCATTCGAATATTAATGCATGCATTCGCTGTCTTGACGTAAAGTTACAGTAAACAAACCATGCAACCACGCCGGTCTAAGATTTGCTGTTAGGAAATTTTCGAAAGTCACAAACAATGCACGTAATCCATTAAATTCCAAAATCGGATCATAAGGGAGTAATAAACAGGAGATAAGCAAAATATAATTGAAAAAAGTTTTGCATATAGGCCGCAAGAGTGAATAATAATAAGTTACAATGGACGACGTCGATGGAAATAAAGAAGAATGCAAGAAAGCCGGCAAAGTTTTATATTTTCCGTCGCGCGTAATTTATAGCCGGGATAAATCCGTTTTCGAGATATTTTCCTTTGTAAATCCGTTCCACCACGAATCGCGATTTAATAAAATCTCCATTTTACAGTCGCTTTTCGCGGAATCATAAACTGTGTTTCGGCATGCAGCACACGAGGGCTGAAATCTGAGCGCCTCCTGCAGGAACCAGCGTAAAGGAAAGCAAGAAACTGGGACAAGCGTCCGCCAGCAGGAGCTCACAAAGAAATTAACTTAATGCGCAAAGAAATTGAATGAGCGTGCGCGAAACGTAATAAGCTTTAATTGAACACTGCATATATTGGCGTGTCCTTAATCTGAGCCGGCGGCATTTGTAACAGTCGCACACCGCAAAATCACAAAAGGTAAAGTCAGAGACACAGAGTTGTCACACGAGATGCGATCATTTATTATGATCGGATTCGAGGTAAAATCAATACGATTCCGCGGTTTATTAGTCTCATGTGGCTTAATTAACTTTATTATTCCAATAACGGGCATTTATTAATGTTACGCATTTTGATTTATGATTATGTGCGCGTTTTTTTCGCCGACAGATTCGAGCATGGACGAGGCAGTTCACGCATTCCGCAACAGCAACCTCAACTCCAACTCAACGAGACTTTCCTGGTGAAGCGCACCGATGATCCCAAGTACTTCTATGTCGCTATTGCGAGTTTAATCGTCTTCCTATTAATCTGTATGATTATTAACTGAATATTGCATAAAATGTTTGGTTGATTGAGTTGTTTATGTTGTAGCTATCATCACAACTGTCTTGCTATGTGTCACCCTGAAGAACGAGCCGATTCTCTGGGAGGCCGACGTGGAGAAACCTCCGGAACCATCTGGAACCGCTGATGAAGTCGCTGATTCTTTTGAAGAACATGAGCGTGAATGCGAGGATGAAAACAACGTTTAGTAACATTCCACAAACTATGACTATAATATTACTCTCTCAATGGATGCTACAAAGTTGTTTTAATATATTTGTAAATGCACATAATATATAAAAATATAACATTGTAAGGAAAAATAAAATGCTAGTGTACCTGGTGTGATGGTGAAGGAATGGTGCATGTAGGGATAAGTATCATAGCGTATAAAAACCGATTTGTTGAGAAATTGGTTGATTTAATCTGTTTTGCTTTTCGATTTAAATTTTCTTCTTTTTTGAGTTTTAGCGTGAATTTTGGCTTTTTGTCGTTTAACTCTTGAACTATTCGAACAACATAAAATGTTTAATATTCTGGCTCGGAATCGCAAAGAATTTCACCAGTATCGTCTAGACACGCATCGTAATGATGACTTCGGCGGAATTTGGCGATTATTGACAGGAACGCTGAAATTTCAGGGGTTACCACCACGTCGTTCTGAAATAAATCATATTTTAAACTAAATTTTATTAAATTTATGTTTGTGTTACTTTAAAATATTTAAGGACGTTTTTTGTGATTGTCTCCAGATCGTTACCAACTGTAGCAGAGCATGTGTAAAGATTTGTCTTTGATTTGCGCACCATGGTGAACCAATCAGCCCGGCAGTCGAATTTACCCACCTGAAATAATAATAAATAAACAAATGAATTAATTGATATTTAATTGGTTGTATGTTGGTACTGGTGTCGCGGTCAAGGACTGGAAATATTCGGTTTCCCCAATTTCAGCGAGTAGTTCTTTCATGCACTCCAACTCATGCTTGGAGCAGGTTTTGATCTTTTTCAACATTGGTCGTCGCATTGGCACTGAACAAGCAATCTTGTCATATTTATTCTCGAAATTGGTCGTGGGTCTTTGTTGTCCTGGTGATGGTGTAAACAGCGGATGCATCATAGCTTGACGTTGTGCTCTCTGTTGATGGACTTGCTGTTGCAACACGAGTTGATAAACGTGTTGTTGAGCTAGAGCAGTTTGCTTCTCTTGCTGCTGCGCTAGCTTGTCATTGATAGCTTCAGGGGTGCATTCCTGGGGTGAATTCAAGATATCCTGGTCAAACCAATGACGCCAATCTAGACCACAAATTGCTTGTGCTTGTTCAGCAGCCGCGTTCTTTAGGGAGATGTTGTTGCATGCGGATATAGCATGCTCAAACTCATTATCATTACTGCAAGCCCTTTGAGCCTCGAGTCTCTTGTAATGTTGTTCGATATTCTTGGTGGTGGGAAAGAATTCCACTGTGGGGCAAGCTCTATCCGCACTGTACAACTTTCTGCTGTTACAGAATTTCTTCTTGGTTTCATTGATCATATCAATCCTGTCATGGGTTGGTGGAGTCTGCGATTCTTCATCTACACATGCATCAAAATCAAAATCAAGGGGTGTGTCCCCAGGTTAGAGTCGAAACCTTCTGGTAGAAAGGACATCTTTGGGGCGCGACTGCGATGGAGGAAGGGTGGTAAAGGCCCTGGATTGCTAACATTACTGTCCAGATTGGAGAATATACGGATCATGTGCTCGGTAAGGTCTCGGGTTGCATGCTCCCAAACAGAGTAACAGGCACGGAAGTCCGAGGTGAGTTCCCGGTTAATGTTCCCTAGGGATCCGTCTTTGACCTGCAGGTACCCTTTCATCAAGTGCCAGCAGTTGATCAAACGCACATAGGCATAGATAAAGTCCTTGGTAGCCCATGGTACACCCTGGGAATGAATATTGGCTACAGTCAAAAATGGGCGATTGATTTCGCCGCGGGTACGGAAGCACAGGTCGTGGATCTTCTTGAAACATGGTCTATGCTGATGGCGGATGGCAACCTTCTCAGCAATCTCACATCCGGCATCTAGGAATTTAATAAAATTCTCGGTTTCGGGATCATATAAATTATAGTAATCATTGGGATCATCTCCTGAGTTGTAGAAGAATTGCTCGCCGCTAGATTGCTCTGTGAATGACTCATTCTGCTTCTGCAATTGAGCTGCGAGGTTCTCCCGGAAGACCCTGTCATAGAAGGCGCGCTCCTGCACTGCTCTCTCCTGATTCAAACATGCGTTAATCACATGATCCTGAATTCGTTGCTCGCGTAACATCGTCTCCTGCGACAGTGTCAATTGCGCATTGTAGTTAATACCTCCGGATTGATTAACTTCCGGTACCTGGACACTATTGTTTTGTAATTTATTGAAGTACTCTCGTCCATACACCTGGGTCATCTGAGTCCTACAAGACGTAGGCGTCATCAGAGGTGTGGTGGTCTTTGATGAGAGAGATGTTACGCTCGCAAACGTAGAAGTGCTGGAGTGCTCTGTGCACGGTTTGGACGTTTGTGGTCTTTGGGGCATCGGAATGGTCGAGAATAATTGTGACTCCGGGGTATTGGTATCATCTGGCCAATACGTCCCACTATGGGCACGCGGTATGCATGGGATATTTCTGAGAATTGAAATATGGGCACGGTAGGGTAAATTATTTGGCCCGGCTGACAGCTCGGTATGTTTGGGATTAAGAAAGCGGTTATTGGTACGCTGGTTACGGGTTTGTTCGCTTCCGTCTGCATTCCCGACGAGACGGGGTTTGGGCAATGGGGGTAGTTCATTCTGTGTTTTGTTGTTCAGAAGAGCGCTAACGAAAGCAAGAGCTGTATGCTCAGGCACCTGAAATGAAACACATAATGTGGTAATAGGGACCCCTTTTTTTTCAAATGTCAAAAAGGGGCTGATAAAATTCTGTAAAATATGTTTCACGTTATTTATTTCTGACCACTGAATATTTTACGTCTTTTGTGAGCCTAATATCCTACTAATTCTCCTGAGTAATGATTTAAATATATACAGATTGAAATATTCTTACTTTTTTAATGATATGTAGCTGCAGAAATTTTGAACTTAGAGGTGACACTGAATATGAATTTTTTTCGAGAAATAAAATGTCAAACAAGGAAACAAAAGCAGTTGCTATGCATGCGATAATATAAAGAAATGAAAATTAAAAGTTTTGCATAAATAAAATTCGCTGAAAATCGCATTGAAGAATAAACGCGCAGTATTGCTGCACAAATATTCAATGCAAGCGTAAATAAACACAATCTCACGCGGAGAGGATAAAAAAGTTTCACAAGAATCGTGTGATCCGATGCGGATAAAGGTAAACAAACAGCTCGCAACGCATCCAATTCCAAGAGATTTAATATAAAAATTTGCATTTGAGCGACATCTTCTCTTGAATTATAAAGTTTTACTGAAGGTGATTGCACGCACACCATTACATTTATTTACGTTTATTTTAACGTGATAACAAACAGAATTCCACGATAATACGATAATACAATACAATAATATTGTTGAATAGAGGAGTTTACAGATATTTTATGCAAGTTATGACAATTTTATATAAGTATTACCGAATTATACTTCTTTAGCGCTTGTAATGATAAACAGTTTCAAGCAAATGACAAAAGTCAAAAAATAATTGTTTACATAGAAATTTATTCTTAAGAATTACCTAAAAACTGAATCAAAAATTAGTTAACGGTTAAATATTATATGCTTGGGAATAAAAGAATTTATAAATAAACGCGTAGATTTGCTGCATAAATATTAAATGCAGGTAGAAGTAAACACGTTCTCGTTCGTTGTTGATAAAAAGATACGCAAGAATCGCGTGATGCGATACGGATACAAATAAACAAACAACTCTCAACTCATCCAATTCCACGAGATTTAATGCAAAATGTGCATCTTAGCGACATCTTCTCTTGAAATATAAAGTTATACTGATGTTGATTCACTTGCACTTATACATACTACGTCTACATTTATTTCAACTTGATAACAAATTCTCACTGCTTCGTATTAGCAATACGTCTTCCACAATGATACGATAATGCAATATAATAATATTGTTGAAAATAATCCGCAGACATTTTATGCAAGTTATGGTAATTTTATGCAAAAATTTTAAATTATTTTTATGTTTTAATTGAATTAAACTTCTCTAGCGTTTGTAATGATAAACAACTTCAAGAAACTGACAAAAATCTAAGAATTAATTAAATACGTACATAGAAATTCAGTAAACAGTAAAATATTATATGTTTTAAAAGAATAAAAGCATTGATAAATAAACGCGCAGATTTGCTGCACAAATATTAAATGCAGGTAGAAGTAAACACGTTCTCGTACGTTGATGATAAGATAGATACGCAAGAATCGCGTGATCCGTATCAGAATAAAAGTAAACAAACAGTTAGCAGCTCATCCAATTCCATGAAATTTAATCTAAAAATGTGCATCTTAGCGACATCTTCTCTTGAATCTTAAAGTTATATTGAAGGATGCTATTCGTTCAATTGATAAGGTGTACGTGCACCGATAGTGTAGGTAGTATCGATGCGAAGGTAAATCGCATGCACAAACTCCGCTCGCAAATTTATCTCAATCTTATTACCAACGCTCGCTGCTGCAATACTATGATATATTATTAATATTGGAATAAAATATAATAATATTGTTGTAATAAAAGTCCACAATAGGTTTAAAATAAACTAATTTTTATGCAATTAACGCGAATTAAACTTTTTTGCTGCTTGTAATGATAAACATGTTGCTGATAATGTCAAAAATGTAAAAATTAAACAAATATGTACATAGAAATTTATTTCGACGTCCCCAGTAGTAAAAAGTGGCTTAAAATATTTGTAGAATATGCTTGCAACAAACATTTTTACTCCTGTAGATTATTTTTACTTCAAAAGTGCATCGTAACGCCATCCAGGAATCATATCAAAAGTAAAAATGTAAGACATTTTTTGGTATACGTGTGTATAAGTAAGAAAACATTAAGATAGTAGACTTGTATCTGTGTGGGCGAATTAATTTCACACTGATACGACTGCTTCCAATCGTGTACGTGCTTCTTTACAATTAAAGAAGTAGCATTTTTAAATATAACTGTACAATCCAAGTCGAGGTGGCGCTAGAATGCACTTTTACGAATTAAATTAAACTTCATTCGACACTTTCGCCTTGAATATCGAACAATAACAAGATTATCAGTTCGGCACGATATTTCTGTTGAAATTCTTACAATAACATCACGATGCGTTTGTTTATTTTATAGTATGTAGATAAAAAACGAACATGTAGATTAAAAAAACGTGTTTATAAAACTTGAAACATGATTTATAAGTACACGAGGAATAAAATACAGAAAGTAAATGTAACTACCCAGAGTAAACCTAGATGGCGCTAAGATGTACTTAAGTGAATTAAACAGCCATATCCCACTTAAAAACAACTTCATAGTTTGACCCAAGATGGCATTACAGTGCATTTTAATGCATTAAATTATACATCGTACGACGTTCAACGTACTATCATATCACGATAAGATAATCAGTTAAACCTGATATTTTACGTTGAATCTCATGCTTAGACCACACAAAAATAATTTGTTTATTTTATAGTAGGTAAATAAATCAACAAATAAAATTTTACATGTTGACAAGTTATTACTTATTTTATTCCAATTAAAATAAAATATATTTTCTTTATCGAATACGTAATCCATGTTTAATAAAAAAAAAATTAAATTAAAATTAAATTTCTGAAATTTCCATATTTATCCATTTCCGATAATAACCATATGAAATTAAATTAATGGTTCCATCATATCTAATGACTGTGAATACGCCGGTTTGCTAATGATTATATCCCTGATATTTATTGTGCGTACAAAGCCGAATGAAAGATCGAAAAAGATTAAAGGCGACACACAACAATGACACATGAATCATAATGAATCAAAGAAAAATGAGAAGGTGTTGGTCGCATCAAATTGACGACGAATTTGATGATTATAACGTGCGTGCATCGAGAAATAACGCCCACGCCATTGATGTTTTATTAATCATACCTCGCGTCCAAAAATACATACAACAAGCACCACACGAATAAATGAAATGAAAAGATCCTTTCATCGCTTGCACAACTACTTCTCGTAATGAGCGTGAGGAATTAGCGAGCCCCATTTGGCTTCGAAGCTGTTGTGATAATATTTGGATATTTGTTTGTTTTGTGTTTGTTTACGAGACAAAGTCAGCGCAGCGGATTCGGAATGTTGTGTTCTGTTGTTATTTGAGATTTTCCGCGCGCACAGGGTGGAAAGGCCTGCGTTTGCAAAGCGGCGTCTATTTTTAAATGAAACTATACCGGTCGCATGCAACAATGTATGCTGTATGCTATTCCCCGGCACTTTGCGCATTTGAAGTCACGTAGAGTGCCTCAGGTGAAAGATGTGCTCAATTAAGTGTGCCATGGCCCACGATTACAATTCTCGTGCATTAGGCGCACCTGCACTCTGCGGAATAAACTGCCCAGCCGAGTTTTTGGATAAAATTTATTAAGATCATCAACAAATAACAAGTGACCATTCAAATTCAACAATAAAATCAATTAACAACAGTTACCACCAAATGAATGGGTAACGACATTTAGCCATGTTTGGAATGCACATGTTTGTGACCATGTTTGTGCTCATGCTTGTGTCCATGATGATGGTCATGCTTGTTCTCATGTTTGTGTCCATGATGATGACCATGCTTGTGTCCGTGATGATGGTCGTGCTTGTGGCCATGATGATGGTCGTGTTTGTGGTCGTTGTGGTGTTCGTGTTTGTGTCCATGATGGTGGTCGTGTTTGTGGGCCTGATGATGGTCGTGGCCATGCTCGTGTTTGTGCCCATGATGATGATCATGCTTATGGTCCTCGTGATGGTCCTCCTTGTGCTCCTGGTGATGCTTATGCCCGTGCTTGTGACCATGCTTGTGATCATGATGATGGTCATGCTTGTGGTCCTGATGGTGGCTGTGGGCATGCTTGTGTCCATGATGATGATCGTGCTTGTGGTCCTGGTGATGGTCGTGCTTGTGCTGGTTGTGGTGGTCGTGTGCGTGCTTGTGCTCCTGCTTGTGTTTGTGGTGATGTTCCTGCTTGTGCTGGTGCTTGTGCATGTGGGTATGTTTGTGGTAATGGACCTCGGCGTGCTCCTCGTCCTCATGGTGGCTCTTTTGATCCGCCCAGCGACTCTCGGAGTTCTCGGCGTCACGCGGTGCTAGCTGCGTTTGGTCATCGGCATCAGCAGCCGCCTCGCCGTAATCCTCGTAGTCTTTGGACGTTCGCGACTCCACCGGGGACTGCTCCTCGGGTTTGCTCGGGTAGGTCTTCTCGAAGGTCGAGAACAATTCGTCGAAGTGGCGGCCGGGCTCGGCGTTGGTCTGGGCCACGGCCGGCGCTACGTTGGCACTGTTCCCGGTGTTATCGACTTCGGCGTTGCCGGGGGCGGCGGGGAACTTCTGAGGGTAGGTGATGTAAGGTGGCTGGTGGACGTAGTACGGCGCCACATATTGTTCGTAGTCGATGCGGTATGAGCAGACGCCCAAGAAGACCGTGGTCAAGAAACACGCGGTTGTCTGATCATGAAAATCAACAAATTACTCTTTTTGAAGCCCAAAATTAAAATTATCACAATTTTAATATTGACAATATGACTCTGGATGCAATGACTTTCTTTTTTCGCTTGCTTAGCAAATTGAATGAGATACTATTGAATGTGCTCACCAAAACTCCCATGTTGGATTCCTAGTAGGTCTTCTTAGAGCCCAACGAAGCTGAGTACTGTCTTCCGTTGGCGAATCGTTGCGTATTTATACTCCCCGAGATACGCTAGTTAATCGTAATTAATTCAGAATAGCGTGCCGTACCATTCGATGCCTTACTCATTTAATTTCTCGTTGGTACAATTTGTGCATCCCGAATCTTGCGCTTCGATTGTTTCCATACCGTGTTCGCAGCGATTTTATTACTTTGTGCATTTTGCATGGAGCTTCGCGCTTCTCGCTTCTTGCGTTTTATCGATAGTACCGTCATTATTTATGAAAATATCCCAAGCGCGTGCACTCTACGTACGAAAACCAGCGTGAATCATTAATAATAATTCATAATTGTTCCTAACGGAAGGCCGTGGACGTGCAAATCAAAAGCCAGGCAGTGTGAAATCTTGAATCTTGCCGAGTTTCACTTTATTTGCATTCAATTCTGTAGGCACGAGAGCATCGATTTCTTTTTCGCTGATATTGAATCGAAGTGTTTGATTTAAGCCAATAGTTCACACCAGTAGACACCGGATTCAGTTCGCACGCACGATCCACATCTCGTGCTCTATTTGCGTTCGAAGTTGAATAAGCAAATCATAAGCATTGGCATAGTCTAAGTGCATCTTTTGCTTATTACGGAAATGATCGCAGCAGAGCACTTCAGCGTTTATTTGTGTATGCCAAACAAATATTAAGTGTGCCCGTTTAAAATTCCACACTCCTCCTCGCCGCCAACTTGTTATGATAGAAATAAACATTTCGATGCCCGAATATCTTCGAATGGGAATGGGAATGAAAACACAATCATTCTCGAGCACTCTCGGCGCGAGGAGCGTGATTAAGAGCAGCATTCGAAACGTTTAAATCGTTTCGGAATTACCCAACGGCGACACGAAATTTGTTCCTTTTTCGGACCGGCATCATCGGGCCTCCAGCGCGAGCATTAAAACAGATAAGCATCGGTTTTATTGGGTTGTTGGGTTGTTTGGTCGCTTGTTCCATCTTGGGATGACCACCATTAAGGTGCTGAATAGACAAATAAGTGGTGCTTTTGGCACGCACACCTACACCCAAGAAGACAAAAATAAAACGCGACTCCTCTGTATAAGTTAAGCGTAGGCGCGTGGTTTCTGCTCCTTTGCTTATTGTTATTCATTCGCTTGTTGCAAGGCGTCGCGTCGCGGTGTGGTACAGATCGATCTCAGCGATTAGAGGTCCATTATGCCCGCCGAGAAAAAACAAGGCGCGCGAGCACTCTCGAGACGAAATCCAGAGTCATCGGGTGGCACCACTGCATCACGATAAAAAGTCGTCTCCAATTGGTACGACAATGAATTGGAAAATCGGATTAAACAGAAAACAACGAGTACGGTGCTTCGAATAGAGTCAGTCAAGCTGAACCCCCGTGTAAAGCACCTCCATCGTTGCCAATTACGCATCATTATAGCCCGAACTTGAATATGTGGGACCTTTTCAATATGTTTTTCTTCAGCCACCTGGAGATACTATGATAAATCAAAAATTACATCATCGTGCACGCGCTGCGCGGAGAGAGCGTGCAACAATCATTTAAAATGATTCAGTATTTTATTTTCTTTCCAGCCAGCCTCACTAATAGTCCCATCCTGCTCGAAAGTGTTTTCCACCAACAATGAAGAATGAGTTGGTGTATCAATAACAAATCATTCGTTCCTAATAAAAGCTGATAGTTTCGGCTTGAAATGGATTCAATGGTGATGATTTTATAATGGCCCTCGAAAACTTGCTGACAAATGGCTATGATTGCTTGGATATTCGTATCGAAATGATAGAAAACAGATCGATTAAACTCCGGTACTTCAAATATCCATTAGCGTATTTTTCATCGAAATTAATTTCCAATTTGATTGAAACAACAAAAAATATTCAGTGGCTGCAAATAAACTCTTCTCAATTATTCCAGCCAGCGCGAGTCAGCCGTATGCAACCGACACGGCGCGTGAATGTAATTAAAACAATGCGAGCAATGTTATAAAAGCGTCTTAACGCGCCAAGTTTAGCGCCGGCTTCAAACAAGACGTACTACATGAGCCGCGCCACCACTTGCCGCGGCGCACACATCATTCCCGTCGCTTGTCCGCCGCGGATTTGAATTTGATTTAGACTTGGCTTATAAACATTTAATTAACCCGAACCGCATTATTCGCAATCCGAAAGACTGCTCCATCCGGCGGCGCGCGCGCGCCGCGCGAAGCATGCCAAGTTACGTAATTACAAAACTTGCTTCCTTGTATACCTACAATGGTGGCGGCGGAGGCGGCGGAGCGTTCGCGAGACGTATTACCACCCTTAGACTCCATCTAGCCGAATGAGTTAAATGGTATTAGGCGTCGGTGCGCATCCGAAGTGTGATTATTCAGTGACAACTCGAAGTCGCTCCGCGTGTTCTGTTTCAGTTTTTGTTCTTCCAGCGCGTAGTAAATGACCCCGACTGCTTTGGATTTTCTACATTTGCCCAATTTGAATACTCTTCCAGGCCTGGGCGAAAGTTTAAATTTGAAACTCACACATTACGCGCTTATTTGCGTAATTCTTAAGACAGCTGCCGCGACGTCTTGCTCCATGCACATCTCGTCCTAATTAGTCATTTATACATGGTACCGAGGTAATTTTAAGAACTTTATTACTTCTTAGAGAGGTGTAGTTACATCAATGAACAAAAATTCATCAAAATTTTCAATAAATTTCGATTTTATAAAGAATTTTACTTAAAATATCTTCAAAATGATGATTTACAATCAATTTAACGTCTAGTTATCACAATTAATATTATTCAGACAGGAATCAAGATGAATCCGTAGTGGGTCTTCTTGCAATTTATTTATTGATTGACGTTGTGCGTTCCCTGAATTTTTTTGTTGTTTTATTTGTAAAAAAGCATCGCAATCATTTTTCCAGCTTGCCGAGCTTGCAGCTTTGATTTCGTTTGACATTGCACGTTATTTCATTATTTATTTATCAATATACATCGTATGTCGCATGCAAATTGTGTTTGTAGTTCGTTATGAATTGATCCCGCGCCTCACTTGCCGGTGTGTGTTCGTAATGTATGCGATACATTACTCCACATACACGCGCGCGACATTAATGTCATTCATATTAATTTAATGGCATGATTTTTGTTGCCGGGACTTGGTTTTTCTTATATTCGCGGTGCGCCTCGCCTGATCTGTTTTATAAGACGGCGCAGCATCCAAGCGTCCAAGAGAGACCTAAACGCGCACTTTACGAGCATCATTTTTCTTTTGAACGGCTCTACGTGCGTCCATGACCGTTGACCACGCGTGCCCAAGGGCTGCAGGCAATGAAGAGAGTCCGTCCAGGCGGGCCCCGGGAATGAATAAATAAATAATTTCTTTCTCTTCGCGGCATTCGCAGTCGTTGGCATGCATAAATGACGCCTTCGAAATGACGGATTTTAATTGCGTCTGCTGAGGATCCTCTGGCAAATGACAATAGTGCCAGTGCCAGTGTCAAGACTCTTACCTACTCGTTCACAGTTCATTTCGTATGCATTTTATTATAATACATGTATGTAATCATAATTAAATAATAATAACATGCTTCAAAGATTTTCTGAAGACAATTGTGTCTTTCGAGTGCTTAAACTCCTCTCTTCTAGTCGTCTTCGTTATTTTTTTTTAGTGTTTTTTTGTTAGAAGAGTATATTAAGCAGTCGGTTAAGTACCGCGTGCGTTTTTGGCGTTTTGTTCCTGTGAATCGTCGCGGCGCGCAGTTTCCGCGATGTGGCGAGGCTAATCTAATCGCGCTAATCGCAGCGTCTTTTCCGTTTCAGTGTTTGGCGCAGGTTTCGGCTCAGCTACTCATCTTGGGATTTCTTCGTCGCGTTTAATGTGTTTACTCGCGTTTCTCATGTAATTTAATGTAACGAACGTTACACATGCTTATGGCAATAATTATGAACGCAAAACATGCTAGCGCTGCATTAGTTGCTTTTGACTAATTTTTCCGAGGTTTTTCTGTGTCCTGTGGATATAATAGTCAATCGACTAATTTCATGCGAGGGCAAATGACCAATCTGAGCGTGTTTTAATTATCCCACAACGGATTTTTTTCTTTTTTTGCTAGAAAAGTCAATTTTCATGTTTATTCTAGAAGATGCGTCTTATAACTTTCGATTAGTCTTCTCTGTTCGTATATTACGACCGGGTGTATGGCAAAACTCACACAATTGCGTTTTATTCACAATATAGCTAACTATATTTTAATGTATTTTGAAAAATTTAAAAATTGGTGTGTTTTTACATCTCTAGAGAAGAAAAATTAAGTTTTTCCACAGTTTTGAGACGTAAAAAGTAGTATTTTAATCAGGGACAGCCAAGGTTGTGACTAAAGTACTTTAGTCACGGGTTTTAGTGACGGGGTAAAGCTTACGCCTGCGCAAAACAAGTGAAAGTAGAAAATATAGCAATGTTAAACACTCGATTGATTAAACGCTTGTTACACTCACTCTTCATCAATCTTTTGACTAAAACTCACATTTAGCGACTTGATGCTTAATATACTCTTAACGTATTTAGAAAAATTACTAAATTCGCGTATTTTTATATCTCTAGAGTTGAAACATTAAGTTTTTACACAGTTCTGAGACGCAAAAAGTGGTATTTTGAACATTGACAGTCTAGAACTCTAGAACGTGAGGAAAATACTTTAGTCACGGGTTTTAGTCACGGGGTGGAGCTTACACCTGCGCAAAACAAGTGAAAGTAGAAAATATATCGTAAGAATCTGAACAAGTTTTAATTATCCTACCACTGATTTTTTCTATTTTTGCTACAAAAGTCAATTTTCATGTTTATTCTAGAAGATATCGTGTCCAAAATAAACACGTCGTAGTTATTAGTGCAAACATCCTCGGATGGACACAGGTAGTTCAGCTCCACTTGACAAAATGTTTATTATTGTTGTGTTTTGACAATGGGACCACCTATAATCGACACCTAGATCTGAACCGATTTCAGTATA